AATGAGAAAGGATGAGCAAATTAATGAGCATTTATTAAAATAAAATTTGTAATTAAGAAAATCGGAAAAATATCAATTGCCTGCAAATAAGTCAAATAAGAATTTTTAATTAAAAATAAAATACATTTTACTTTAAGTTATTTTATTTGAATTGATTTCATTTTTTAAGCAATTATCTATTTTTGCAATTTATTTTGAAAAATACGCTTTTTTTCGAAACTTCAGCTTTGTTAATAAAATGCAGTTTTCATACCTGAAAATGAGTTTTTAATTGCGTGCTTGATGTATAGCATTAAAAGTATAATTTAATATAACAATAAATATTAAAAATGCAAAAAGTCAACCATTAGCTGATATTTTCACCCTTTTTGGGCAGAGAGTTTTAATATTTGGTATTGCAGCAATCGATGGAATTTACGAATGTTATTTGAGTTAATTGGCCGCGGCTACGAGCCGAATAGCTATAAATATTTGGTTGCCGTGTAAAGGCGGCGGGCGCGTGCGGTGCTCAACGCTTGGCATGATAATTTCTCGCTCCACAAATCAACTGGTATGTACGCGCAGAGCGCAATTCTAACACCCTTCAACAATAAACAGCATGTCACTTAGCTCAAACTTCAAAAGTGCCGTGTGCGGTATGGGTTAAAACGGCGGGGCGAAACACGACAAGCCAAGGCAAGAATACAGACGCGAGGAGAGGCGGGGCAACGCGACGTGGTGGTTAGGACACAGGACGACGACGACGATGCCGAGAAGGGCAGTCATCGACGTCGTTATGCGTCGCAAGTGCCGCTAGCGCCAACATGCTTCCGTGTCGTGCCACACAGTTTTTATTTGTCTTTGGCGGCGGCGGCAGCTTTTGACTGGCAAACGAACCGGGGTAGCACAGTGGCACAATTCTATTTCAACTCGAAATGTGGATTAGGTTGTGCAACTAGAGCAGCACCAAGCTTAACATTATTTGAGCATATTTGCAAAATTGTAAATGTGTAAATTGTTAGAAACTGATTCTTAAAGAAGTCATTCTGTCCAAAAATATCTTCAATTTTAGAAAACTTACGAATTTTTAGATTTCAATATATATATATACATATATATATTTCAGATGTATTTAATTTTAATATTTATTATTTTTATAAATATAGAACATTGATTTTATTAATAATATGATCAATTTCATCCACTTCTATGAGTTAACGAAACCACTGTATTATGTCGAATGACAAAGTTCTGTTTGCTCGAGGGGTTAAGCTTGTTGACGGTGGGAGGGGCAGGGGGAGGGGATGTGAATGGGAAGTCGCTCTGGCGATAATAAACAGACACACATACACGAAGCAAGCGAAATGACAGCCTGCGCTGAAGTGTGTCTGATGGGCGTCGTCAGGCTCAAGCTCTGGCGACGGCGCTTCGCTTGTTGATATTGTCGCACTTGTGTCGCTAGCACAGTGGTCAGACATTGCTCAAAAATATATAGCTTTAACTGTTAAATTTCATATGACTAACATATTTGTCATTAATTATTTATATATTAATATACACCTAATAATGTTATCTAATTAAATATACGATAGCTGCATTTGTTTTTATTGCCTGGTCACACTGTACCTGTAAGCATTTTGATTGTCATGGCAATTCGAAAGCATTTGTCGGTAGCTCGTTGCCCGCTCCCCGCTCCCCTCGCCAGGCACACTCACTGACAAACTCACTGAGCCGCTCATACAACCCCCCCACCCAAACAGCCAGCAGCTACTTGCCACATTTGGCTTTCTGCCAGGACCCAATGACTCTGTGTGTGTTTGTGTGTGTGAATGTGTGTATGTGGGTGCGGTGGGTGCGGCAACTAAAAATGCGACGTGCGAGATTATCGTGTCGCTTGTTGGTCGCCGACTTTGCCAAATACATACATACAGGCACACATACATATGTACATATATCGCATGCTGAAGTAGTTGTTGTTGCTGTTTTTGTGGCCTCCCCCATCTCGCCCCGTGTCTATATATCAAGGCACGCTGGCAGCACAACTTACGCTACTGATGGCGTTGATGATGGCAAAAGGGCAGCAACAGCAACGACAACAACAACAACAACAATAAAGTCGACGACAACAACAGAAAAAGTGTGGAGAAGCGTGCGCGCGAGGATAACGACACGATGCGAACGACAGCATAAAGCAGAAGGAGAGTTAGCTGTGTGTGTGTGTGTGTGCGACTAATTGGGTGAGAGAGAATGTGGGTGCTCAAATTGGTTTCGTGCTTTCGTGTGACGCGTGCGGAGGCGTGTAAGCTCTCTGTCTATGTGTGTGTGTGTGTTTGTGTGTGAGTTTGTGTGTGCGGGCACACTGGATGTCGTATCGTTGTAGTTGTTGTTGTTGCTGCCTGCCTGGCATGAATGCTTGATGCGTGACGGCAGCGACCGCCAGTTGTTGCCAGCAATTGGAATGGACACACAGGACACACAGTACGGACACCAGCACAAAACAACAGCAAAAAAAGAGAAAAATACAATTTGCGTCGTGTGGATGTGGATTTTGTATTTGTACGTTTCGTTTCGCTTATTTTTTTTCGCAAGTTTACTTTTGTTGTTTTGTGCTTGGGATTTGCACGCTCGTGCAAGGACTCGACACCTAGCCCCGATCCCTGCCCCACTCCCATTGACATCGCCTCTGTTTATGTCATTTTGTTTATGCTGCCCGCACCGACGCGAAATGCGCCATTTTTAAGCGACCCGTTTTAGTTTTTACTTCCACACACTGGATATATATTTGTTTGTGTGTGTGTGTGCGGTTGCGTCGCTGTCAACGTCATCGTCCCTGTCACATTTCTTTTCACCCTTTGGCCCTGCACCGCTCCTCCTATTTTCGTTTTGCGGCTGACTAAGTTGAATTCAACGCTGTGGGTAACATCTGTGTCTAGGCATCCCTAAAACATTTTTTGTTGTTATTTGCATAAATATAGCATACACTAAAGCTGGCCAATTTTACGAGAGGAAGCGCTAGAGGGAAAGCGAGTTGGAGAGAGCGATTATTAAGATTTGATCGCAGAACTAAAACATGTGCTTCATTGCACTACTACTGATTCTTATGAGCTGAATAAAAATCATTGGATGGAAGAACCATGGGAAAAGAACCGATAAACAATTGATCACATTAAGACTTCTATCGATTTGACAGCTGCTTTTTGTTGGCTGGCGAATGCAAATTTAATTAAATAATTGCTATAGCTATATATATTTTGGAAGAGATTTCTATAGTTTTGTTTTACGAATTGATAATTGTACTTTAATTATTACTATTAATATTTCCTTTACATTTCATATAGTTGTTAGTAAAAGATGTTTAAGTTTTTAAATGGGGAAAAAATGCGGCAACGAACCCGTTAAACATATTTGAACCCACAACGAGCAGTTGGAAGCGGCTCACTTGACTCTGGCTGAAACGTGAGAAAGGTGGGAAAGTCGGAAAGTAGGAATTGCGTACTGGGCTTAAATGAAAACCCCATAATTCGCCACAGGATGTCTCTGTGTGGCACTTGAAGGAAACTTTGGCTACTGTTTCGTGTGTGGGTCGGGCTGATAACGGCGACAAGTGGCAAGCCAGTGGGCGTGGCAGGACTGAAAGAGGATGGGGAATAAGAGCAGCAACATCGCGCTATGTTCTCACTTGTCGCATTGGAGTGGAGTTCCATTTGACTGTGCGACTGCGACTTGACTAACGGGGGCAGAGGGAGTTGCCTTATCCTTATGCACTGTACGTGTGTGTATAAGTGCACAGCACTCAAACACACACACACACACATACACACATGCACAAACAGACAAACATTTTCGCATGACTCCCGTGAAGACAGTTGGACGTTGCCTGCTCCTTGTTGTTGTCGCACGCTTAAGTAGTATAGCCCTCCCAAACCTTCCCAGCCACCCAACACCAAACGATGGCGCCGGGAACACACACACACACACACAGACAGGGAGGGAGAGAGAGACGCCTTGCTGCGCACGCCGGATGTGGATGGAGGCGAGGACACGTAAACAGCGTTGAATTACAGCCTGACAAACGGGGCGTTGAAGTCTCCAACTTAAAAGTTATGTCTGTGTGCGGGTTGTGGTGGGAGGTGGCACGTCTGTACCCTGCCTGTGCATCATTTATAAGCCATACTAGGCCACAGATTGTCTTGACACCCCAATCCCAAAAGCACCAAAAAACCCCATCCCCAAAAACTCCTCCTCCTTAAGGCGCGCACGCAACGAAGCCGATGATGATGAGTGCACGCCAGCCATAACTTGATGAGGAGGCGGGAATCGGGGATTGAGAGTGGGAGTGGGAGTGGGTGGAGTGTCACGTGCGACGGTTCCTTGTTGCTGTAGGTGTTCCTGCCGTTCCTGTTGTTCCTGCTGCCTATGCCATAATTCATGCGGCAAAGTTGAAATGAAGAGCAATTTATTGAATAATACTTTCTTGCATGAGGTCAACACACACGCTTAGACACCAGCACAGACGGACGACGTCGCAACAGGATCACAACTCCCGCCGAACTTTGACACGTGCGGCGAACATTCCAATTGACCATTCATCTAACAGACATAGTAGATATATATATATATAGTATATGTTCTATGTGTATTTTGATATCAAATGCAGATTGAGTTTGTTTCAAATTTTGCATTCACCTCTCAGAATTTTAAATGCGCTTAGACCTTTTTTTAATCAATTTACTTAATTTAAAATTAACGAAAATAGATAAGGGTATCTGAATATTTGGCAAATTGAGTAACTAATGCACTAATATTAAAGTCGAAATGATGACTATTTACCTACTCTGCTTAATAATTATGCATTCATTTTAGTTTTATTATATTTCATGATATCATCAATATTTCGAGATTTTCTTTTTATAATATACTGCGGAAATTTTTTCCTTTTTTCTCAATAGGTTATAGCTCATAAATGCAAAATGCTTTATTTTTTAATAATGAAAACATAAATATTTATTTATAATTGAGCATTTTATTTATAATTTTATATGCATTTTTACTTATGATTTTTACTTAAGCCTAAGAATAGCAAAATCATTTTGAAGCATATATCACACGATAGTCTTTTAGAGATTACAAATTTTCCAATTGATTTTCTCATGTAAAAATAGTAATGACAATCAAGTTGACCTTTAAATGGTAAGTTTAGTTTTTGATTTCGGTTCACTTTTCTTGGCCAGCGCAGAAGCGGGACATATGTCTCTATTGAGGCACTCGGAACAGTTGGGCCTGAGTGGGGTGCAAACCGTCTGGCCAAAACCGACGAATAGATGATTAACCTCGGCCCACAGCTGACGGGGCAACCAGGTCTCCAGCTGAATGCGCGTTTGCTCTGGCTCCTTGGTGGACTTGCTTAGCCAGGCCAAGCGATTGGCAATACGATGCACATGGGTATCGACGCCAATGCCGGTAATCTGATTCCAAGCGGTCGCCATGCAAATGTGCGCCATTTTAGGACCAACACCGGGCAGCTTCAGTAGCTCCGGTATGTTATCTGGAATGTCTTCGTTGTACTTGTCTACTAGTATTTGTGAGGTTTTCTTCAAGTACTTTGCTTTGTTCTGCAATGTGTTTGAAATGTAATTCTTGTTATTATATTTATAATTCAGACATACTTTATAGAAGCTGACTGGGTGCAGCAGGTTCTCCAGCACACCAACTGGCATGCTCTGCATGCTGGCAGGTGTTAAAGTTTGCGCCTTCAAACGTTTCATCGCCTCAAAAGTGGTTTCATCCTTTGTCTGACTGGACAGCATTAGAGCTACCAATTTGTGAAAGCGTTGCGTCTACAAAGACTTGTGTTAATTATTAATATGGATGCCTATATTGCTCACCTTTGCATCGGCATTAATATCGGCACACTGATGACAGCCTAGAGTATCAACTGGCGCTGGTTTCTGGGAGCGCATTAGACGAATGTTTTCCAGATGCTGCCACCAATTAGCATTTGGAATTTCCTGATGCTGCTCAGTTTTAACAGCTGCAATTTCTACTTTGAACTCTTTATGTGGTTCGACTTCTTCGCTCATCACTTCTAGCTTGCACTCTGGGAGGAGTTCGACCTTTGGCACAATATCACAGGCGATAATTGTTGCCGATCCCATTGCAATTTTTGTGGTTTTTGAAACGATTTCTTGGCGCCCCTTTTTGGCGGGCAAATTTGGTTTGGGCAGCGAATTCACCTGACGCTGTTTGCGAGTTTGTACAGGCGAAAAGTAGCGTGGCGCAGCTGCAGCTGCAACGCTAGGCAAATCCTCAATGTCCTGCATATGCAACAGGTAATTATAAACAAATAAATGTAAAAACTATTTAAAATCATTCTTACCAAAAGTTCATTTCTGGCACTTGTGATTTTCGGCTTCGCTACTTTATTGAACTTCATCAGCTTGCAGGATAAAGCATTATTTTGGTTAGACATTGATCTTAAGCAATTTTTGTATAGGTTGTGCATCAATTTGCAAGTACTTTTAAATATTTTAACAATACCAACTTTGTCTACGCTACTGGTGCACAGTGTGACCGTCTGTAGGAAAACAGCTGTTCTTGTTATGCTTATCAACTGGCGATGAGTGTGGAGTCTGTCGTTAAGTGAGGAGCGTAGTATCAGTATTTTTTCTAAAATACTTTTGCAAAATCGAATCCAACCTTAGACTGCAAATTGCAGCCACACTGTTTTACATTCATACAAATTAAAATAAAATTTATTTTAAATGTACAATTTTTGGCTAATAGTAATAAATTAACATGCTTTAAGCGTCGCAGCAAATAAAACACGAATACGCGGAGTGCTAAATTAAGAAGTGAACGTTAACAAAACAACACCCAACGCATAACATAAGTGACAAATTGTATATGGTTGTGGAATTTGTGTATATAACAGAACAGTATATGTTAAAATATAAATTATCAGTTCAAGTTGCACAAAAATGCACTGCTAATTTGTTGGGCTTAGAAATTTGGCTTTAGAACGTACAAAGCGTATCAGCGTTGAAAGAAAATTGCATACAATACACACACACACGCACACAGTTGTACATTTGACGGAAGAGGAAAAATTGCATTGGTAAGTTGTTGTTGTTATTGTGTCCCCATCACAACAAAAACAAACAAACAAATTGATGTAATATTGAAAGTAATTGTTAAAATGCTTAAAGCAAAACAGAGTGTGAACATTGCTCAATTGTGTAGCTATGCAGATATGTAAAATATATATAGGGTATATATATGTATCCATATGTCTTATCTCATGCGTCACTTCACTTTCTTCGTTGCGGCGACAGCAGCAGCAAAAACTTTTGAGGACAACATACATGTATGTACATATGTATGAATGTATGTAATTCTTCTTCTGTTTTACCGTAATCAACTCTGATTCATACATCAACAATGTATAAAATACACTGGGTTATTTCAAATGCTTGTCATACGGCACCTGATAGAGGTGAGCGCGTGTCTAAGCACGAGTCAAACTAATAACAATTGTGCACAGTTCGTGTTCATATTTTAAAAACCTTTGAAATACGCTCAATTACTTAATTTGTGCTGACTGCCCACCTGCATTCGCTGCGTCTCTTTTAAAGGTGCCATATCTAAATACATACATATATCTACATCTATATGTATTTCCAGTTAGACATGCGCTGATTTTATCGTTTGACCCAAATACTTGCGATGCTGCCCCCGCGATGCATTCAATTTGACATAATTTCTCTGAATGTTTTCTTATCATAATTTATCAATATTCATTTGGAATGCTAACCAATCTGAATATCTCTCCAGGCGACTGAAACGCAACAATTGAACGCAACTGGAATGCGTGCCGCCATTCCGCCCGGCGTACGTGTTGTACGCGGTCCAAATTGGATATGGTCGAATCAAGGTAGGATGGCAACAGCAAACAGCAAACACATACTTTGTATGTTGTTTTTTTGTTTTTTTTTTTTATTTATTAATTTTTTGTTTACCCATTTGAGGAATTAACTAGCTATAACAGTTTGTTTATAATGTGTGTACAAATATGTGTGTGTGTGTAAGCGATCTACACCTTTGGGGGTGCCAGTAAATGTAAAGTGGAGACGACGGGGATGGGGACGCTATTTTTAGCCACACTCAGTGCGGCGGAATGCTTCCCAAATGGCTTTGCTGAAACACACACACACATTTCGTATACAAAATGGCAGAGGTAAAGTGAGTGGGACGGGGGAGGAAGAGTAGGAGGTGGAGAGGGGTACATGTGCGACCTTTTTGCCAAGAGTTTTTTACGCCGCCCGTCATAAAAGAAGTCAAACGCCTGACGACGTCGTCGTCGTCGGCGTCGTCTGTTTGGGACGCGTGCCATTTGAATATCTTGTATTTTTAGATGCACATGGAACGGAGGGTCTGTCCAGGATTGCAGCTGCTGCTGCTGCTACTGCCAGAAAGTGGGATGGAAAACAAATATATAAATAGTCTTAATTACCAGCTAAACTATGCCGCTTAAAGCTGAAATAATAGCATCAAATAACAGCTGTGTGGCGTTCTGCTTGCTTCCAAGAATTGCTGGAAATCTCAGAAACCTTGCATATAAAACGTTTAATAATTAAGTAAAAATATTTATTAGACATCTGTATTAAAATTATAGCTTACTAAACGAGGCGTTCGATTCCTAAACAAATATATTTGGAAAATGCAACAAATATTAAATATTTTTGAATGTTTTATTATAAGTCATTAAATTTTAATCATAGAAAATATAATTTTTAGCAATTTGACTTCAGATTTGCACACTTTTTTCTTTATTATAACTACAATGTTCTTTTTTAATTTCATTTAATAAATCAAAGACAGTTAAAATACATTAAATTACACATAAAATTTAATTACACTTAAATAAAAAAAACAAGAAATATTTATAATTCTTCAACTGTATTTTATGTTGTGCAACAAGAGATAAACAGAGAGATTTTGCTTAAATAGTTGCCACAGTCAAACAGTCAAAAGTTGAAGCGTCTCTGGTAACAACTTTAGCCATACCCTAGCCTAATGTGCATGTCAAAAATAAATCAAATGCCAGCCGCCCATTAACCGAGGGGACAAAGTGGGGACCCAGAGTTGGGATGGGGGGGGAAGTTAAACAAATGCATTGCCTGCCACACGCATGTTTAAATTTAGAGTTTAGCTGCACACCCGCCTGTATATATGTATGAATATATATAAATATATATATATGGCAGATGTTTGGCAAGAGCGAGGAGCCCCCGTCGTCGTCGTGCTATTCGCACCGGATGAAACATTTCCTTGGGAGCGAGTAGCAACGAGCACTTCGTTGTTTTTGGGATTGGGGTGTGAATACCATTTATAAATAGCTCCCGAGCTAACGGAAACTCGTGGGGCGCGAAGCTGTAAAAATTGAGAATCTCAGCTCCATTACACAAAAGTGCTATAGAAATTCTGATTTCATTTTGTAACCAACAGACGACGGAGAAGGTCACGTTGGCACCGTTTGCGAAATAGGACGCTGCGGATCGACACATTCACCGGAGAATACGGTTGTGGTCAATTGGGATTCCGGCCATCGCACCAACTACAGAGTGGGCTATCAAAATCAATACGATCTAATTATTGTGGACAACGCACAAGTGGGTAAGTAACCGAATTGAGTGAACCAATTATTCGAGATAGAATCTTGGTGGTTTTCTTGTTTGTTTATTATCTGGGACAGAAAGCGTGTTATCAAATAAGTTAACAATTTTGTATGAGTTAATAGAGAGAGCCTACAAACCAAGAAAAATAGTCAGAGAAGAGGAGGATTTTGGAATATCGACAAGATTTTATAGAACCCATATAATCCTACTGGAAGTCTTTAGCTCATATTATTTCCAAAATGTATCGAATCTTTTTGAATAAGGGAAACTTGGAATGTTCAATAAGCGAAAAGTTCATTTGAGCTGTTCCTGCTATACGAGAATCTACAAAAAAACACTAAGATATAGTCGGGAGAGTGGAATTGGAATATCGAAAAGTTGTTCAAGAACCTATATACTATAGTTGAAGTTTTTAGCTCATGTATGCCCAGAGATATCATATAATTTCCAAAATGAATCGATTGTTGTTGAATAGAAAAAAATCGAAAGTTGATTAAGGGAAAAACATATTTTATTATTTTATCTTATTATTTGCTACACTTGAAGTCGTTTACATACTCCCAGAGATCGTCTCAGTTCTAGAAAATAACAATATTTCAATTCAGCTTGTATTTAATGTTGCCATTTGATAACTTTATTATAGGGTATACTGATTTTCTGCAAATGTATACAACAAGCAGAGCGAAACATCTCTGAGTCCATAAATTATTTATGTTCTTGTTGTTTTTTTTTTTCATTTTCAAATCGATATTGCATTCATTAATTGCCGCTTTCGTATTGTTTGCAGGTGTTCGTCATTCAAATGTGGTTTGTGATGGCTGCGCGAAGGCGGGCATAGCCGGCATTGTGTTCAAGTGCGCCCAGTGCACCAATTACCATTTGTGCGCCTACTGCTACGGCGGTAATCTGCACAATTTGGAGCATCCGTTTGTGCGTTACACCACGCCCACATCGTTGGGCGTACGCGTGCCGCCGCGCAAGGGATCGCAGCGCATACAGCTGCGCGGCATCTTTGTGGGCTCGAAGGTTGTGCGCGGTCCGGACTGGGAGTGGAACGACCAGGACGGCGGTGAGGGCAAAACGGGGCGTGTTATGGAAATACGCGGCTGGGACAACGAATCGTGTCGCAGTGTCGCCAACGTCTCCTGGGTAACCGGTTCAACGAACGTCTATCGTCTGGGCCACAAGGGCAACGTGGATCTAAAATATATAGCAGCTACTTGCGGCGGACAGTACTATAAGGATCATATGCCGGTGCTGGGCCAGCCCGAGGAGCAGCAACCAATCGTGGCCATGGTGAAGCCAAGCTTCTCGGTGGGCGATCGTGTCAAGGTCTGCCTCGAGGTGGATGCACTGATGAAGTTACAGCAGGGTCATGGTGGCTGGAATCCGCGCATGGTTGAACACCTGGCCAAACTGGGCACAGTACATCGCATCACCGAAAAGGGAGATATACGGTATGCATCAATGGACTAAAATAATCCAGGAAATTGTATTCGCTTCTTTGAAGTTTGAGTATTTAATTAGAATCGTTTGATTTTTTAAAATGAATCGATCTCAAAAATGTATAATTAAAATATCCATTAAATATTAATTTCCATTTTGCAGCGTTCAATACGAAAACTGCCCCAATCGCTGGACTTTTCATCCCGCCGCACTCGTCAAGGTTGTCTCGTTCCGTGTGGGCGATTTGGTGACAATTATAAGCGATGCACAAAAAGTACAGCAGCTGCAGAAGGGGCATGGCGAATGGATTGATATCATGCGTTATGTGAGTACAATTGGACATAGTTTCCCCACTTCACCAGATCAGCAACTAATCGTTGTGCTATCTTTCAGGCTCTGGGCAAGCTGTGTAAAGTGGTCAAGGTGTATTCGGATGGAGATCTGCGCATACAGCAGCTGGACGATGGCTTCGAGTGGACATTGAATCCGAAATGTGTGAAGCTGGAGCGTTCACCATTGGCGACGGCAGCCGAACGTTCCAATAGCATGATGGACTTGAGTCATCGCCGTACGGATCATGTGATGACACCGCTATCTGGTCTCTCCGGCAGCTCGGTGGCCGATAAGTTGGTGCGCGAAGCGGCCCAGGGACATTTGGACTTTGTGAAGCAATATCTGGATGTGAATCCTAGTCAGGTGGATGTGATGAGTGGCGGCAAGGCATGCATACAGGTTGCCTCACATCAGGGATTCGTCGAGCTGGTCAACTACCTCATCTCCAAAGGCGCCAATGTCAATGTGGTCGACAAGGAGGGCGATTCAGCACTGCACTATGCAGCCTTTGGCAATCAGCCGGAGACAATGCGTGTGCTGCTCGAGAATGGCGCCGCAGTGAATTTCCTCAACTCCAGCCACTGTTCGGCGCTGCACATTTGCGCGCACAAGAAGACGCCGCATTGTGTCCGCGAACTGCTGCAGCACAATGCGAACGTCAATATACAGGACTCTTATGGTGATACGGCGTTGCACGATGCCATCGGCAAGGAGAACACCGAAGTCGTTGAGCTCCTCTGCAATGCGCCAAATTTAGATTTTACGGTGAAGAACAATCGCGGCTTCAATGTGCTGCACCATGCGGCGCTCAAGGGCAATGTGGTCGCTGCACGACGCATCCTTCAGCTCTCCCGTCAACTGGTCAATGTGCGCAAAGATGATGGTTTTGCGGCGCTGCATCTGGCGGCGCTCAATGGGCATGCCCAGGTCGTCGAGACACTGGTCACTGAGGGTCAGGCCGAGCTGGATATACGCAACAATCGACGGCAGACGCCATTCCTGCTTGCTGTCTCGCAGGGACATCCGAGCGTTATCGAGCGCCTCGTCAAGCTGTCGTGTGACATTAATGCCAAGGATGAGGATGGCGATAACGCGATGCATCTGTGCGTCATCAAGAAATCCAATTTACAGCAAGCTGCAGAGCCATCCCAAGAGGATGCGCCCGAAATTCACAAGTTCTTCGTTAGCCTCGCACAGACGAGTGTGCGCAGCGAGGATCGCCTGATGTACAGCGTCCTCATTTACTTATCCCGGCACGGCTGTCGCGTCGAGCTGAATAATGCCAATGCCAGCATCTTCGAGTGGATCACAGATCGCAACATTAGGCAGCTGATCTTTGGCCAGCAAACGGAGGACTCGGCTGTCACAACGACGACGACGACATCAACGTCAGAGGCACCGACGCCTCTGCAACGTAATATGCATGCCTTGGACATAAACCCAGTGGACGAAGGATTTGTAGTTGTTGGCGATGCTGGCGAGGATGCAGCGGCGACCACACTGACGCTACCACCGCCACCAATGCAGCCCAAGCCCAGTGAGGCAACAACTACAGCTGCCGCCGCTTCTGCTGCTGCTGCTGGACTGCAGCCATCGCCGGCGAACAAGAAACTCAATTCGGATGCCACATGCAGTGCTGCTTCACCTCAGGTGGCGCCACGCAAAAAAGCACCAAAGCCGCCAGTGCCAACAACAGGAACAACAGCAGTCGACTCAAGTGCATCTGCAGCTGCATTGCCGGGCATAATCACTGGGCAGTTGGAGTGCATCGTTTGCAATGAGCCGCTGCAGCTGGTGCGCTTCGGTAAGCAACAAGCATAGATTCCATTTATAGCCAGTTCTTTTATTAACCTATTCCGTTTGTATTTATAGAGCCGTGCCTGCATCAAATTGCTTGCGAGGAATGCAGCATACGTATGAAGAAATGCCTGCGCTGCGGCGTTGCCATTGAGCGACGTTTGGATGCCAATGGCCGGCAAATCGTTAGCCAACAGTTGTCGTCGACATCGTCGCCCAGCGACCAGGCGCGTCTGCCTTCTGGTGATCTGTTGCGCTATCTGGAGAACAAAGTGCAGGAGTTTGAGGAGTCACACTTTTGTGGCATTTGCATGGAACGCAAACGGGATGTGGCATTCCTTTGCGGCCACGGGGCCTGCTCTCATTGTGCCGAAACGTTGCGCACTTGCCACATGTGCCGCAAGACGATACTAAAGAAGATCAACCTGTACTGAGCACCCAGTGCACCCAGCAATTCGTAACCAAAGTGGCTTGTATATATAAATACTACAAAAGATGTTTAAATTACATACGCATATATTTTCCGTGGATAACGTTGCGTGTCGTCAACACCTGATACCACCAATTCGATCCAGCATCATGACTTTATCTTATCTTTTTTCTTTCATTGTTTTTATTTACTTTTTTTTTTGGCAAATTTACTCCCATCTTATTATTTATTGAGCACCAGATTGGAATTGTTTTCGCGTTTCTGTAAACGATTTACATAAGGCATTAAATACTACATGTAAACAAGAATTGTTGCACTTACCACATCAACACACCCATATACACACACACGCGCACACACATACTCCTTTACAACCACACGCACACATGTCAATAGTTTATTAGCATCGTTTAACGACATCGAAAAACTAATTAAAATATATTAGATGTGTAATAATGTAAGCATTTTAATTGGAAACCCCAGATCATTTGAGTTATTTTGGAGGATTATCAGCCAGTTAAAACTCCAGACGCATTCGAATTTCCTAGAAGGACTTTCATTCTTGATAGTTTGAATGAATATTCCAGCTAGATTTTCTTCCTTCATTAAATAACTTATTGCCAGTAACCCGAGTCTCTTATTATCTGGAACCGCTACACAAATGTCTATCAACAATTAAAAGTTGCAGATTGTATATAAATTTAATATTTAAAAATGTATCTTTGTAGATCCTACTTGTGAAAATATTTTTTTAGATTCTGCTTTCCATCAAATTTTAATAATTAACTGTTGAAACCTCTCATTTATTAGATGTTTTGAAATCATTAAATGTTAAATATGGTAGTTATAATCATGTTGTGTTTGGCCTCTTTTATATAAATTTAAGTTTTTTAAAATGTGTAATTAATTGCGCATTGTAAACATCTCTAGAATGTAGAAACATAATTTATTTACATATATATTATTATGCTAAGTTTGCTTCCAGATAGTGTGTCTAACCGAACCATCGAATCGAGTAAAGTCCTGCCGGCAAAGGGTGCATTTAACAATCGAATTTAAAATGACAATACGTTCAAGAGGGCGAGTTTTTTGATTAACCATACGTGGAAAGCAACCTCGCTGTTGCTCCAGTACTACAAATATATTATGAAGTGTGAAATATTTCACTTACAACAAAGCTGAATCTTTATAAACAAATTTGATTATCGATAAATTTAACAATATGTTTCTGTCAGAAATAATACTAAAAATACTGCAAGCATCCGATACGAATTGAGCCAGGTATCGATGACGATTAACATATGAGTAGTTATCGCTTGGACAGAAAGCAAAGAAGAGAAAAAACACACACGTCACAATTACTACAAAAATACTTACGCGTGTGAAGAAGAAAAGTTAACAAATATGCCTAAACAGTTGGCGGATTTTCAGCCGTCAAGGTTTCAATTCTATCAAAAGGTGGCACTGGGCATCCTACTGATAGCCTTTTTGCTTTCGCTGCCGGCAATATGTCAGAGTCAAGGTGCCAGTTTTAAATACTCCCGCGAAGCAAATGAAAATTTTGATGCAAAGAATGCGCCGCCGGTAGTCCATGATCATCACGACCACGATCATGACCATCATGATCACCATGGACATGACCATCATGATCACCATGGACATGACCATCATGATCATCATGATCACCACGGACATGACCATAATGATCATCATGGACACAACCATCACCACCATGATCATGATCAACATGATAAAAAGCCGGCGTCATTAGGTGAGCGATGGATTGAGACAAGCAAACAATTGTTAAAGGCTTTTATAATGTTCGTTTTATTTGTTTTACAGATATGAAGAGCATTTGGATGCACTCAATGGGCTCGACGCTGCTTATCAGTGCCGCTCCCTTCGTGCTACTCTACATTATTCCATTAGATAATAGCGAGGCAATGAAACCCCGACTAAAAGTGTTGCTAGCATTTGCGTCCGGTGGTTTGCTGGGCGATGCTTTTCTACATTTGATACCACATGCCACGCATCCGCACAGTCACGGCGAGCATGGCCACGACCATGACCACGATCATCATCATCATGAGGAAGCCGAGGGCGAGGGTCATGGTCATGTGCATGATATGAGCGTTGGACTCTGGGTGCTCGGTGGCATTGTTGCCTTTCTGTCTGTTGAGAAATTAGTGCGCATACTTAAAGGAGGCGACGGATCTGGTGGACATGGACACAGTCACAGCGCATCAAAACCCGTTGTCAAGGAGAAGGAGACTGGGGCGGGGGATAAGAAAAAGTCAAAACCGAAACCGAAGGCAGCTGCCAAGACAACTGATGATGACGAGGGAGAAGTGGAAATTTCTGGTTATTTGAATTTGGCCGCAGACTTTGCGCACAATTTCACTGATGGTCTGGCCATTGGTGCTTCCTATCTGGCAGGCAACAGCATTGGCATTGTTACTACCATCACCATACTGCTGCACGAAGTGCCGCACGAGATTGGCGATTTCGCCATACTCATCAAATCCGGCTGCTCACGCCGCAAGGCCATGCTGCTCCAATTGGTGACAGCGCTGGGCGCTTTGGCGGGCACTGCGCTGGCTCTGGTGGGTGCAGGGAGCAGCGACGGCAGCTCGGCGCCCTGGGTGCTACCGTTTACAGCCGGTGGTTTCATATACATTGCCACGGTTAGTGTGCTGCCCGAATTGCTGGAGGAGTCGACGAAGCTGAAGCAATCCTTGAAGGAAATCTTTGCGCTTCTGACAGGCGTTGGGCTCATGATCGTTATAGCTAAGTTTGAATAATTGATACTACAGTGCAGCTAATTATAGCTTTGTTTCAGCAACTAAAATATTTGGTGTGATTAAACAAATATATATGGCCCAATAGTACTTCCAAACATATTTGGGAATCTAACAGTTTGTATTAAAATTAAGAAAAAACTCACAAAAATTGTGTTATGAATCGCAATTTTCATTTGCTGAAAAGTCGCCTTAACTATGAAATTACAATATTTTCACGAAATATTTATTTGTGGCTCAGAATTGAATAGGCTTTCAGCAATTCAAATTGTTTGCTTATTAAAATAATCAACTAATTTGGGAGGCACTACTGCAATATATATTAATACAGAGCTTATAACTTGCGCTTTTTCAGGGTTATCTGAACAATACAAAACCTTTGTAAAAATATCTGTACATGATTAACAATGGATGTGGTGTGGATGTTTCAATAACTGCGCCGTTCCACTCCTAGCGATTTATGCTGGACTTGATTTCGTTGAGACAATACTCAGCCTGCTCTATTGCGTCAGCGTTCTTGTGACTTTTACCCAGTTTCCAGGCGAGCTTACAAAACTTTTCCGCCTCTTTTAGTAGACCTTCGCGTAGGTAGACCAGACCCAAATTGGCTTGTATGACACCCTCTTGGGTAGCATCCTTCAGCTCCTTGGCTATGGACAGGGCATGCAAAAGCGTTTCCTTCGCCTCGGTGTAGTTTTCCAGCTATTACATTAAATATTGTAGTTGTATGCATATGTTAAGCGATTGGATGAGCTGATAGACCTACATTAACGTAAGCTACGCTGATATTATTCAAAATGGTCACCGAAGCATCATTGAGGGTACCATAGACTTCGACGAGGATCTCAAGGGCCTCCTTAAATAGATTCTTTGCCTCCGTGTATTTACCCTGCTTCATCAGCAACTGTCCAAACCTGCAGCCAATTAAACAAAAAAGTTGATTTTTAATTTAGTGTGTTAAGCTTTTGGTTATTTTTGGTTGTAAGGAAGCATGGAACAACCTTCAATACCAGTTTTTTGTCAGGCCATATAGCTCTAGTATATCATTGTCTTTCGGCATTTCCTTTACCAGTTTGGCAAGGCGTTGCAGAGTCCATGTGAAGCCCTGAAAGCTCTTCTCCAGTTCACCCTGTAGCTGCGACATATGAGCTATTTTCGAGCTGATGTGCAGAATCTTGGGACTGTCCTCTGTGTGCCCATCGGACATCAGGCGCTTCATCACATCCACGAATAACTTCTCGGCTTTTTTAAACTGTTCGCGTTCCATGGCAAGATTGGCCATTATATCGTAGACGTAGGTAATTCCATGGGATGACTGCAGGTCTTGGGCCATACGCAGTGAGAGATGCAGCATCTGCTCGGCTTTATCATATTGTTCGTTTTGTATACAAATTATCGAACGCTTTATGGTATTCACCAGTTTCGTTTCGGGCGTTTCTTCTGCGTCTTTGCCATCGCCGCTGCTAAATAAGTTGAAGCTAAACGCAGCCGTAAATATTAAGCCAGTGTTGGGATGTGCCGAGGAGCGTTGCTCCTGCTGCCAGTTATAAAAAGTGCATAATGATCTTGTTTGTTTTGCGTAACTCGGCGTTTGTTTCTTATGCAGATTGACAATTGAAAATTCATTGGGACGCACAAAACGCAGGCGACACAAGATTTGTGTCAATTTACAAAAATTCTTTACCATCATTTTGAATTTAATACATTGTACAATTAATTTATTAAATTTCTGTGCTGGGTACGCAAAATACGTTTGTTTCTGCTGCTCAATTACGAAATATGAGTCAATTCAGTGTTGTAAAGAGGGGACAGTTACAGATAAATTAGTGTCGCCAAACGCTTTGGCAAAATACTCATGTAAACTAAAAACAAATTAATTGATTTATCAGAACATTTTTTTAAACATTTTTCTTTGTATTTTGTTCATATTTATATAAGTTAAGTGTTGGGATAGTTGATCATAATTGTTATATTTCAATGAATTCACTAAATAGCTTGGTAAATAATTATGGTCTAGAAATACTGGCATTTATAAAAAAACATTCTTGTCGCACTACCAAGTAAAGCCAATATTGCCTTCACCTCATATAGGATTTTTCTATTAATCGATACTGAAAATTCGCAAAATTATCGATAGGTGACACTCGCGAAGCATAGCTTGCATCAAAATGCAACCCTACCTATTGATGGCGGATTGACGCTTTTCGCTGGCAACCAAAATTTTCTTTTACAAGCAATCAAAAAGGTTGCGCGCCGCAAAATAAGCCAAGAATTGTACGTTTGATATAATCGGGTACCGCTGTAGTTAAAAACAAGTGCAATAGCATTTAACTCGAGTGTTTTCATCAGTGGCATAAGTGTGCGGGAAGCATTTTTTTCTCACAGCTATGAGACGTCGTAGCGAGCGAAAAAAATCTTCATCGCCAGCACCGTTGCCGGCACGCCGCAGCAGACGATCGCTGAAGGTATCGGAAAATGAGAAAACCGAGGATGAGACGCCAGTCGAGAAGCCAGATGAATTAAAAGCGCCACCAATACTCGAAGAAATCAATGAGGAGCGCACTGAACGCGCCTCAAGCGAGGAACATGCGGTGGCGGCAGCGGCATCGCCAGTGCGCAAAAGCCGCAACACACGCACGACACCCAAGAAGCGTAATAGCGCTAGCAATCAGCGTGAGAAGAGTGGCGAGCGCAAGGTGGAAACAATACCCGAGGAAATGGAAAATGGCTCGGAGACAACTGCTGGCGACAACAACGTCGATATCGATAACAATCTATCGGCCGAAAAGGAACCCGATGAACAATTGGCCGAACAACAACGGCAAAAGGAGCCAGAGGCAGAGCCAATTAAACCGGAGAAAGTTCTAGAGGAAGAAGAAGATGCAGTAAAGGCACCCGAGAATCCGAAGGATGATGATGATCAAGCTGACGGAGGACAGGACACGGGCAAGGACACCAACAGCAATAGCAACAGCAACCGGGATGAATGTGCCACTGGCGAACGGAGCGTGGAAGAGGTAAAAGTTGCTTCTTCTTTAAGCTTTACAGCAAGTAAGGATGAGGACAATCTAAAAACCACAAGCGATGTATTAGAAATTCAAACAGAGGACGTGGAAGAAAGGAACTCTGAGAGATTGGAACAGGCAGAGAAGCCCAAAACGGATGACAACAAGCCAGTCAAACCAGTCAAAAGCGATGAACACACTGAGAATCACAAGGCAGGTGTCGAGCCAGCAACAGAGCCGACATCCAACCAGGATAAACAGGAATATGTGGCGCAACAGCGTTCCGTACGTAAACGCAAATGGCTGAGCAAAAAGGTGGCGGATCGAGCTCCACCGGTGCTGGCCATTTCAACGGATTCGCTGAAAAACATCATTGCCGACGTGGTGAATCCGGTGCCGCTTAGCGATGTGCAGTTGGAATCATCGTCGGAAGAGGAGGGCCTCGTCACCAGCGACCACGATACGGACGAGCATTCGCTGACGCCCGAGTTGCGCGTTATCAAAGATCGCGACGAGGGCAACGCGACCGATGACGAGCAGCAGAAACCACAAGCCAAGCCGAATGAGAAGGACACACCAACGGCGGCACTGGGTGCAAATAAATCAGCCGTCGAACTTGCTTCCAATGCTGCTGGTGGCGTTGCCGTTGCCCGCTCTCCCAGTCCAGCGCGCAATCGGGCCAGCCACGTTCTATTTATTACCAATCTGGTGCGTCCCTTTACGGTGCTGCAGCTAAAAGGACTGCTGGCGCGAACTGGCAAGATAATTGATGAGGATGGCTTCTGGATAGATCGCATCAAGTCCAAGTGCTATGTTGCATATGCCACAGAGGAGTACGTTTTTTGATTTCATACTATTCGTTTATTACACACATGCAGAGGTTGTTCAATTTTAGCACGAAATTTATATTGTATTGAAATAGACAGCTCAGCTCCCCATGAAGTCTATTTCTTCAAGTCCATAGGTCCATTTCCGTTTCTTTGTTAGTGAAATCTTGAAGATAATTTTTACTTCAAGTAGAAATATGGATAAAAATTGTCAATCTGTCTGCAAGTGTATTTAATTTATGGCTCATAATTATCCAATACGTGGACTAACATAATTATTATCCATAATTTATCCAACAGCGAAGCCATTGAGACACGTCACGCACTGCATGGCGTCCGTTGGCCGGTCTCGAATCCCAAGTGTTTGAATGTTGACTTTGGTAGCCGCACTGACATGGATCGAGCCATACAAACGACAAAGAATGAGGCACCCAAGTATCCACAGGATAATACCAGAGATAATCAACACTCGGGCAACACTTGGTCACGATTGGATGCAAGTGAAAAAAAGGTAGCAACTTATAAATTATGGCTTAACACATATGTAACTAATTGCAAAAATTCTTATAATCACAGCCGGTGCGTCCGGTTCGCGAATGGGATGTGGGCAAGAAGGAGCCCAATGAGCGCGACAAGTCAAGTAATGATAGGCGCCGCAGCAGTAAGGAGCGCGTTGACGCCAGATTGCGTGAATCCGATCGAGGTAAAGGCGGCGATGATGCCGAGCGCAGTGGACAGGATCGTAAGCGATCAAGGGAACGAGAACGCGGAGGACGCGAACGGGAGCGTGAACGCCCTGATCATCCTGCGCATGGTCGCAGCAGGAGCGGATCCCCAGGTAAGCAAAAGATCACACATCGTTGTAAATACATTTACTGAATTAAGATTCTTTTCGGGCAGCACTGAAATCGAGAAAGAAGGAAAATGAACCACCCATCAGACTATTAGATGACCTATTTCGCAAAACTAAGGGCACGCCATGCATTTATTGGTTGCCCCTCACGCCGGAAGCTGTAAGTGATGTATTGACTAGAACAATGCACTCCAATTTGTGACTAAATCTTCTGCAACTCTTTCTGTAGATCGCGGAAAAGGAGGCGTTCCGTCAGAAGCGCATTGAGGAACACAAACAGCGAATTAAGGAGCGCGAGGAGCGTAATAAGGAGCGCGAAAAGGATCGTGATCGTCAGCGGGATACACGTCGTAATCGCTCAAATGAACGTCGACGCTCGCGCAGTCGCGATCGGGAGCGACGGCGTTACTAGGCAGTAACTAAATGAACAAGCAAAATAAAACAAAAACAAATGAAGTCACCACAACAAATTTTAAGAGAAAACAACAAAACAAAATAATAGCAAGCAGAAGCAGCAGCGATTCATTTCGTGGGGCTCTCATGAAAGCCCTCACATTTTTATTTTTGCCATTTTGAGAATGTTCTGTGTGAAAATATTCCATTTGAAGTTAAGCTCAACTTCGAATTGAATATTTTTGCGCAAACACTCAGAAAGATGAATAACATTGAGATTTAAATTTCTTTTTTTCCCCTTTTCTCTATTTGCTGTTTTATATATATACCTACATATATACATAACTTGATTTGATTTCTTTCCCAAATGTAGCTTTTTACAGCGCGCATCCACAACAACAACAACAAGAACAACATCAGGCGGCAGGCAAGTGACACATGGATTTGTCTCAGTTTGGAGTCCTAAAACTCTAGCCGCGTTTAAGCTCGCCTATAATATACATAACTATATATTCAAGCAGCAAATGCAAATTAATTAAATGAATTATTGTAATTGAAATTTTAAAGAACTTAAATATAACTACTTCACAGATGGCAAGCTTGTGACCATGCCAAAATTTAACTTTTGTCTCTTTATTCTCTGTAAGTAATATATAAATTAGCTGGAAGCAATTCTGAATTTAATATACTAATATAAATATAAAGTATTTACAAATTTATTAATTTGTTAACTCCACTTCTGATATCGTTTTCCATTTGAATTTATAGATATATATAAAATAAATATTTAAAAGAGATTCGTGTAGCGCATATACAGTGTCTCAGATGTTATTTTGACCAGTGTAATGCAAAAAATTTAAAGTGCTATACAATTTAAACAAGGAAACGAACGCTAAGTGTTCAAATGCCAATTTGTTTCTTTCTCCGTCGTCGTGCATGGATGTTGCCTTTGAGTCTTTGGGATTCGGATCAGTATTGGACCCATCATTCCGTCCATCCGAACCTAAAATGTTGAATTTGGACTCATCTGCAAATATGACTGTGTTGCAGAACTCCAAATCCTTGTTCAAATGGGTTTTGGCGAACGTCATCCTAGTCCCTTTATTTTTTGATCTTATAAAGGCCTTCTTCCGTGGTACTCGTGCATTGAAGTCATGGTTGCGCAGAACACGGCGCACAGTTTCCACACTACACTTTTTCCCCATTTCTTCCTGCACCTGTTGAGACAGTTTTGGAGCCGATAGCTTTGGATTTTCCCTTATTTTCCTGATGATCCTCCGCTCTTCCTGTTCGGTGAAAATCTTGTTTGGTGCCATTCTGCCCTTGTCAGCTATCCGATTTTCGTCGACGAAGCGCCGAATGATGTTGAATACAGTTGACTTGCTTAAATTTACCATTTCAGCTATTTGGCGATGTGAATATCCCATTTTGAAGTGTTCCAGGATGAGTTTCCGTTGTTCAATGGTAGTCCGTTTGCCCATAGTCCTTGCTGGCTCGTTGCACCCTAGATGCAGAATATAACTGAGCTGACTATGAAGGATTGGTCTATTTATACCGAAAATATTCAACCTAACGTAAAAACTCCGGGTTTTATGGCACCCAGGTGTCCATAATGTAACTGTTCGAAATAAGCTTTGACCATAAATTGAGGTACGTTTTTTTTACATAACCCGACCTGGCAGGCGGGGAAACCCCAGTTTATTGGGGTCATATATTCATTTTGGTGGTTAATATACATGTATGTACCTGCCACAGGTCTTAGGAATTTTTGAAAAATAATGTATAATTAGTTTATGGCAGGCAATTAACTTTTTTGCTAGGCGCTGTTCCAGTTGAACTGTGAGACACTGTGCATGTATGTACCTGCCATAGGTCTTAGGAATTTTTGAAAAATAATGTATAATTAGTTAATAACAGGCAATTACAATTTTTGCTAGACACTGGTCGAAATAAGGTCTGATATACTGTATATATTTTAAACAATTTTAAATACATTTACCGCTTCCAATATATAAATTCGTATTTAACTGAAAAACCAAGTATCGCGTTCGATACTTTGCACGACTGCATTTCGATAACATTAACAGGGCTAAAGCAATATTTGCGTTCATCGCTATCGAATTAATTCATTAAAATTTTACTGTGGAAAGGTGTGAAAAATGTGGTCCGACACGTTTTTAATTGTATTTATATCAATATGCACAGCGTTTTTAGGTGAAGGCAAGTACTTAAAACCCGAGCAATCAATAATCACAATGCAGAAAAACTTAAAGTGGACACGTATTCATTTATCTTATAGGACTAACCTGGGTGCTGGTCTACCGTACCGAGAAATATCAGCGGCTAAAAACCGAGGTTGATAAACAGAGCAAGAAGTGTAAGTAGCTGCCGATATTAATTATTAGGTCATTAATCAGTTGCCAATTACGTTTTAGTGGAGCGCCAAAAGGAGACACATGGCGATTCGTTGGACAAATCGGTTAAGAAGAAACTCGAACGTTTCGAGGAGAAATTGAAGAATAACAATCGCGACTTGTCGCTGGTCAAGATGAAGTCCATGTTTGCCACAGGATTCGCATTTACAGCGTTGCTCAGCATGTTCAACAGCATATTCGATGGACGCGTCGTGGCCCAACTGCCCTTCACACCCATCTCGTGGATACAGGGTTTGAGCCACAGGAATCTGTCTGGTGATGATTATACCGACTGCTCATTCATATTTCTCTACATCCTGTGCACGATGTCGATACGCCAAAACATCCAGAAGCTGTTGGGCTTTGCGCCATCGCGTGCAGCTAGTAAACAGGGCGGCGGTCTTTTTGGTCCAACACCTGGGCAATTTAAATAGTAATTGTGTTGTTGGCGTGTTTCCTAGTTAAAATTCGGTTTGATTTTGTATTAATTGGTGTAATAAATTACATTTAATTTAAAGTGTTCTATTCATTGTTATTCAAGTGTTTATCCACAATCTATCACAAGTTTTTTTTATTATCAATTATGATTTGTAAAATCAAATTTCAAATGTGTTTTCAATTTATATTTATTCTAAGCGTTTTTTTTAATAGAGAAAGTGGTTAAAGCTGATTTTAAAAATATGAATTTTAAATTCATAACAATTGGATATGCTTGACTAATTTATGGGCAGTTATGTTATGTTTTAATTATTTTGTCTATTTTTTTATTCATTTAAATTTTTTTGTTTTTGATTTGCAGTAAGTTGCACTTAATTTAATTTAACGCGTTAAACTCATACATGGGCTTGTCCACAATTAATCTATCGAAGCTCAAACGTGATAAATCCAAGGTGCGAAACTGTCCGTCCATAATAAGCTCGGCGATGGCCCGACCGACAGCCGGCGACTGCTGGATGCCCTGCCCGCTGAAACCGGTGGCAATATACAGATTGTGGTAATACGGATGAGGGCCGAGAATGCCGTTCTCATCGTACACGTTGTAGTCGTAAGTGCCGGCAAAGCTATTCACAACATTGGCCGTTTCAAATGCGGGCAGACGCTTGACAAGCTCAGGTCTAATCTTCGAATGAAAATAATCGAGATTTCTACAGTTGGGATCATCATGTCACAGGTGACCATTGTGGGCGCATATGTAATGGCCACCCAAGCCCTGCCTGCGTATGAATATACCACTCGTGTCGAGTATCATGGGCATTGCCATGCCAGGAGCATCGCGTTCCTGCGCACTAAGCTCGTACATATAACGCTTCCGCGCATCAATGGGCAATGGCACCCTCAGCAACCCTGAAGACCGGCCAATGTGCGCCAGTCTGGCCACATTTCCGGAGTCGACGCCCGCTGCGATAATGCAAATAGCGAACTTTATGGTGCGCTTAGCACCATCTGCCATTTGTACAACAACCTGATCCAGACTCTGATAGCTGCCTTCAGTGGCGCTGGAATCGCCCGTCACAATGATGTCGTCCTGATTTTGGAATACAAAATCAACGACTTCGCCATGCACAAAATGACCACCATAGCCGAGGGCACCGCGTCTATAGTTTGTTAGCAGCGCCCAGGGATCGAACCAACCCTCCCGTTCCAGGCCAAGGCAGCCCAGTGCGACGTCTTTAGTATTGAGCCAAGGAAAACGTGACGCTAATCTTTCAGCGGTCAGCAGCTCATTGCGTGCGCCCAGCTCATTTTGCAGTTGTGACGTCTGCTTCAGCATGTCAGCATCCGCTTCGCCGGCGAGCACCAGTTGTCCATGTGGGGTATATTGGATGGGTATATCGGTGCCAAAGTGCTCCGGTGCATTGCGTAGAAATTCGGCACCAAACAGTGACATCTGTATGTTTTCGGGCAGCGAGAACTGCTGCGTTAGTGCACCAAGGGACACCCGCGTGGCGGATCTAGTATACTGGAGGTGAACGAATATATTTAACAGTAATCTTTTGCAATTCAAAAGTAACTTACCTTTTCGTCTTTTTCAACAACAACTACATTGAGACCGTTGCGCGCTTTTTCCTTCAGCCAGAAGGCAATGGAGCTACCGATGCCGCCACCTCCAACAATCAGGACATCGCAGTGAGTCTGAAACTCGTCGTCGAGTCCCTTGTCGCCTCCAAATTTGAATTTGCTTTGCGTTGCGATGGGTTTAGGGACATCTTTGTATTTTTCAGCAGTTGGCACAAAGAACTCCTTGATCTTAAGCATATCATTTCCAAGCAATCGAAAAGTTCGACGAATTGGATGTAGATCCTCGGGATCTTTGCCATCGGATGGATTACTACCCGTTGAGTAGGCACGCTGTAGTGGCAGCTGCAACTGACGCATAACATGTCTGCTACGTAGCATATTTAGATAGATTTTTTCATTCACTATTTAATAATTGAACGTTGAGTCTATATAATTTCTTAAAAATACATCACTATGAAATCTCATAACGTTCAGTGTGATAAACAGCTGATGAGCGGGCTTGTGGTAAAAGAAGAAGCGAAAATGTTCTGTTAATGTTATGTTAATGAATGCTAACAGTAAGATATCGATAAGTGCGTTTTTAACTACTCACGATTAAATTGTATGTCTGAATAATCGCTCATCTCTAGAGCCTGGCATTACTTGGCAATTTTGGATGCCGATTTCTGTGAAAAATAATTTAAAACATAAACAGTAGTGAAACGCAAATTGCAAGTGCTTGAAAAATGACAAATGCTGCTGATGTTGCAACACACGATGTAGAAATGGAGGTGGACGCCACGGCGGAAACGTTGGCGGATGAGAAGAAAAATCAAGACCTCGCCGCCGTTCAAGAAATACGCGAGCAAATTCGTCAGATTGAAAAGTCTGTTGCCTCCAAGGAATCACGGTGAGTGGACAAATATATTAATAATAACAAGAGCAGTGGTCACTGGATAGTTAGAATACTTCGAGTCCCATTTTAATGTTAATATTTTGTATATATATTTAAATATATATATATTATATTTGGAAGCCATTCGAGCACTTAATAACAGTAGTTGTTATAAGAAGGATTCTAATCTCCAACTGACTACATAAACTTTTGGCTGCATTCCACTTAAATAACTTAACAATCTTTCCTTAGCTTTATTTTGCGTGTGCTGCGCAATTTGCCCAACACTCGCCGTAAGCTGAATGGCGTCGTCTTCCGCAACTTGGCGCAAACCATTTATCCAGTTGGAGCTGAGCGCGAGGGCGCCTTGGCGTTGACGCCTGCCCTGGAGAAGGATGCCACCGAATTGCCCGATGTGGCCAAGAAGCAAGTGGCCACAAAGGCGCCCATTGCCGAAGTGGATGCCTATTTCTATTTGCTGCTGCTGGTCAAATTGATCGATGCTGGCGATTTGCAGCGTGCTGGTACTTGCTCCGATGCACTGATGTCCAAAATATCCATACAGAATCGTCGCACCTTGGATTTAATTGGTGCCAAATCGTATTTCTACTACTCACGCGTCGCCGAGCTGAATAACGGACTGGAAGGCATCCGGGCCTTTCTGCACGCCCGTCTCCGCACTGCAACGCTGCGCAACGATTTCGAGGGCCAGGCTGTCCTCCTCAATTGCTTGCTGCGTAACTACCTCCACTATGCGCTGTACGATCAGGCCGACAAGCTGGTCAAGAAGTCTGTCTATCCGGAGTCCGCTAGCAATAATGAGTGGGCGCGGTTTCTTTACTATTTGGGTCGCATCAAGGCCGCCAAGCTGGAGTACAGTGATGCCCACAAGCATCTTGTGCAGGCTTTGCGTAAATCACCACAACATGCTGCTATTGGCTTCCGCCAGACGGTGCAGAAATTGATAATTGTGGTGGAGCTGTTGCTGGGCAACATACCGGAGCGTGTGGTGTTCCGCCAGGCTGGGCTGCGCCAATCCCTGACACCGTATTTCCAGCTCACGCAGGCTGTTCGGTTGGGTAATCTGAAGCGTTTCGGCGATGTTGTCGCACAGTTTGGACCCAAGTTCCAACTGGATCACACATTCACTCTAATCATTCGGCTGCGACACAATGTAATCAAGACGGCAATACGCTCCATTGGACTCTCCTATTCCCGCATATCGCCAAAGGACATCGCCAAACGTTTGGTGTTGGACTCAGCGGAAGATGCCGAGTTTATTGTCTCGAAAGCTATACGCGATGGTGTTATTGAGGCGACTCTGGATCCGGCTCAGAACTATATGCGCAGCAAGGAGAGCACCGATATTTATAGTACTCGTGAGCCACAACTGGCGTTCCATGAACGCATCTCATTTTGCCTTAATCTGCACAATCAGAGCGTTAAGGCGATGCGCTATCCACCCAAATCCTATGGCAAGGACTTGGAGAGTGCCGAGGAGAGACGCGAGCGTGAGCAACAGGATTTGGAGCTGGCCAAGGAGATGGCTGAAGATGATGAGGATGGTTTCTAAGCACACGCTGCAGTTTATTCTTATGCATTAATACATTAATTTTTCATAGTTGTGTCGCGAATGAATTAATAATCATAATAAAATTAAATTTGAAAAATTCTGTAACAACTCACTGGAACTAAATCTGGATAAGTTGTATCAAATTCGGACTAATACATTATACGTCTTTCGCTAATTTTTTTAATACCATTGTTGCATACCTAGAAGGCAAATTTTTAAAATTCTTTTTTAAATTGGAACATTTTTTAAATTTTTTAAGCATTGAAATTATCACCGTGAAATATCGCAAAAATCGTAATATTTAAACGATATGTTGTAAGGTGTGCATTGTGAGTGTTGTCTAACAACAAAAGTAAAATTTGTAGCCCTCATCCGATTAATATCCATTACTTCATTTTTACTTCCAAAAATATATGCATTGACTTAAGGCATAATAGTGTAGTAAGTGTAATATTCCGAATAAATAATAATTAATTGGGAGCAAAAATATAGTTTGTGGCGGCATTGAACTATCGATAGGTAGGCACGCTGATAAAATAGATACGTATCGGAAATTATAAGACATCGATACATCTTTGCAATATCAACAACCCTATGTAGTTGCATTATTCTTGGAGCAGAAAGTAAAAAATTTGTGAAAACACACACACACAACGGCAATTAATTTGCAAAGTGTATGCAAATGCATGAAAGTATGAATTTGATAAAGTTCTCATCGCATCAATATTGAAAGAGTGTGTGCAGTGAGCGTGTAGTAAAGAAAAAAAACTACATGCAAGTAAGCAGCAGCAGCAGCAGTCACAGCCACAGCCAACTGCGCCAGCGACGAGTCGTCGAATCAACTTGAGTAGCGAGTAGATTTTTGTGTGGAGTCTCTCTGGCCACATTGGTGCAGCAGCGCCCGCAAATGTATGCGACAACTAGTAGTGGGCAGCAGCAGCAGCACCACCACCAGCAATCGACGTCTTTGTGAAGCAAAAAAAAAAAAAAAAAAAGAATAGAGAAAAACAACAACGAAACAGGAAAAAAATATAGAAAAAAACGTGCGTAAAAATTAATTAGTTGCCGCCACAGCAACGAGCACAGAGAGAAGAGAAGCGAGTGGAGAGTGGAGCAACAGAGCAGCTGCTGCCTCTCAATACAAGACGACATTTTAGTGTATTGTTGTTTTTGTTGTTGTTGTGGTTTTTGCACCCACCACACGTAACTAGAGCAGCAGCCACTATACACCGACTATACACATAAGCAAACATACACATACACACACATAAAGACACACACACACACACACATACAAAGACACACACACACACATATACACTTACACACATACAGAGGCAAACATAAATACATCTATATAAACACTCCAGGCTCGACTTTAGTTAGTATAGTAGATGCGTGCGTGCCACAACAAAATTGGAAATGATTTGTCCAAAAGACGTCCTGCAGTGGTTTAAGACTCTGGAGAGCTACAATCGCATCGATACCATGTGTTCATTGTTCGAGGCATGTTTGCCGTTCGAGCTGCGGTTTCTGGGCACATGCCTCGAGGATCTTGGCAGACGCGATTCGCCCGAGTTGCGCGGCATGGAGTTGCGCGCGAATAATCCGCAGGATCTTGCTGCCGACATGTACAACTGCCAGAAGGGAGAGCCGACTGATAAAAAGATACGCCGCAAAATGGCGCTGTATTTAGCACTGATTCGCGCCTGTAATCGCAATTGTGTTAGCGAAATTTTTCGCACCCTGGAATGTTGGGGCGAACGCGATTTCGCCTGCATCAACGATCAGGATGCGTTTTTGGAACTGTTGCTCGTCTATACAATGGCGGCCAGGCATCCGGTGTTCTCATACCATCAGAACACCAAATGTGCTGAAATTTTGGCCAAAATCAAGGAAACACAAATCATCAACCAGCAGCAGCAGCAGCAGCAACAACAACAACAGCTGCTGCAACAGCCACAGCCGGCGCAGCATCCACAACACTTGCTGCATCAGCAGCAGCAGCAACAACAGCAGCAGCCGCAGCAACCACCACCACCGCCTTTTCATCATCCCATGGTTCAATTAATGCAAACACAGCAGGTGGCAACGCCGATGATGTTTCCACAGCCTTGGACCAAGGTAAGAGCTTCGAATCATAACAAATTTGTAGTTTCCTTTTGTTGTTTGTTGTTGTTGAATTCCCAATTAATTAGAAATAATGCTTGTCAAGAAAACCTATTCAGAAGATGCGTCAAATATTTAACAACTAAATCTATCCCTATTTGATAATTTATTTAATAATAAACACAAAAAAATGTATTATTTGCTTGCATAATACATAATAATATGTGTTCTTATTCCTAACATGTTAAATCATTCACTTCTATTTACATTTGCACTTGCAGCTAATGCCGCCGGGATCTGAAGTCGACGGCATGCAACATCTGATGCAATCCAACATCACCATTCCAGCGGACACAAATGCCATAGCGGCGGCGAATGCATGGTCCATGCGCAATATATATGCAGTGCCGCCGCCGCAGCAGCAGGGGCCACAGAGCCTGGATCATCAGGTGCCACCGCCACAAGCCAGCTCGCCGATGCTAAGCAGTCAGCAGTCATCGCCATCGAGCAGTCGCACCACCAGCCCGCAGCGTGATCGCGGCGGCAGCGTTCCATTGCAACAGCAACAACAACAACAGCTACAAATGCGCAGTTTGCCGCAGCGTTTGGCTGGCAGCGCTAAAAATGCTCGTCGACCCTCCGTGGAGACAACACCACCACCGCCACCAACATCAACGTCCGTGGACGCTAATCTGACGACACAGCACGTCAAGCATTTCGACGAGGTAGGTTCAAGAGCAGAGCAGATCTTCCGGAATCGAATGCGTAACGCTCCATTTGCGAACATCCTTTGCAAAGTGGATTACTATTTAATTTAAAAATTCGGATATAGCTATCATTGGATACAAACATACAATTAATATCTTAAATCCTTGAAATACTTTTCTTTTGTCATATTACAAAGCCATTTAATATGTGAAACGATTGTTCCTTTACTGTTCCCTTGCTTGGGGAAGCTCTAAGCACTTTCTGTCCCGGCTTAAGTGGACATTTATCTATTGTAATTAAATTTATTATATTCTTGCAATTAAATTGATGTTTTTATGCATTCTTGCAGAATATCAGCGACGGCGGGGGCAACACCAGCGGCGCCAGCTTGTCCAGTATTATACGCAACGCAAGTTATACCCGTGGGGCACAACAGCGTATCAATGCGAATGCCTACATGCCCCCCGCACACCAGCAGCAGCAACCGTCGCCGGTAAGTCAGGAAACACAGCAGCAGCAGCACTATCAGATGAACAACTACATCAAGGCGAGCACACTTGCCCAGACGATGCATAATATGCATATAAGTGACGATGGCAGCGCTGCGACGAGGATAATCAATTCCAGTAAAAGTGCCGCAACGACCAGCAGCGAGTCGGGCTGCTCGAATGGTTCCTGTGGAGAGACAACGCCACCGGAAACGCCAACGCCGCTGACCAATCATACAGTAGGCATTGTGCCCAATTATCATCAGCAGCAACAGCAACAGCAGCAGCAAAAACATCATCTTAGCAAGCAGCAACTGAGTCTGCAGCATCGCTTAAATGGACGCAATGGTGTGGAGAAGAGCTATCAGCAAATATATACGACAAGCAATCCAAGCGATGCTCAGGCCTTGCAACAACAACAGCAGCAGCAGCAGCAAGCGCTGCTTATTAGTCCATCTGCAGTAACAGTGCCCACGACAACGGTGATGCTGCAGCCACAGCAGCAGCAACAACAACAGCAGCAGCAACAGCAGCAGCAACAGCAGCAGCAACAACAGCAACAGCAACAACAACCGCCGACAGCTTACAATGCAGCCACATATCCATATCATACGGCAAGTGGGCGTGGTCCGCCTCCTACGTTGATAAAGCCGCATCATGCGCCGCCGCCGGCACATACGTTGCACGGCTCGTTTCGTTTTACCTTGCCGCCACATAACGGTGAACTGATGTATCCGGCATATCATGCCGGATTGGCCTATCCGCCCGTGCCCGTTACCGCCACGCCCACAGGGGCGCCCACAGCTGTGACGGCCGGGCAGATTGGCCGCAACACGGCGCCCGTCGTCAGTACGAATTCGGTTACAGTGCAAACGCAAACGCCTACGTCACAGCAACAACAGCAGCAGCAATTGTTGGCAACAACAACGCCGTACAGTACGTTAAGTGTCTGTCCCATAACTGGAGCGAGCAGTGCTGTGGCCCAGAAGATCATCTCCTGCTACAATTGCGGCTCACAGACGCACACCGGTCGGGAGTGCCAGGAGGCGTCCATGGAGGATGTGACGCGCAGTGCCAACTACAAGCTGGACTACAGCCAGACAAACAGTGGCAGCAGCATCGATGGTCTTGTCGTGACCGAGGGACACAAGGATGTGGGCAGCATGCTCAAGAATGTGCCAGCAACAACGCCAACGGCGGCAACAGCTGCATTGACCAGCATGGGCAAATAGGCCATGTATAATAAACATATAATATACAAATATCATATGTGTATGATATACTACATTTATATATAAATAATTGATACATAATTAACATTTATTATAATTATTAACTACCTACACAATTTAACATTTATAAACGTTTGTAAAAGTGCGGGAAATCAAATTTCACGCCTTAGCCACGTCTCTTAGTTGTTTAAGCCCAATTTTTGCAAAATTGCGTTAGCCAGAACAAGTCGCCTATTAAAAAAAACAAAATAATTAACAAACCTTGCGCACCACAGGGGAAATTTGCAGACAGTAACTGTAGTTATATATATATATATACATATTAATATATAAAATATTATATCTTTTGTGTAACGCGCCCCCTCCCAAAAAATGAATATTTATACCATCTAAGTTGTATGCAAAAAGAGCAATAGACAAACAGAAAAACGAAGCAAATAACAATTTACAGAAGCAGCGGATAAATGTAGCAACTATTAAAATTTAATGAAATTTGTAAGGATGATTAAAAGAGAAATAGCAAAAGGACTTCACGCAATTCAAATAGCGCATCCGTATTGCAAAAGAAAAAAAATGCAAATAATTATATTGAGTGCGTATTTGTATGGAAAAACTATAATTTAAGGTAAAAACAAAACAAGAATAAATGCAAAAACAAGAAAGATAAGCAAAATAAAAAAGTAGCATTACAATAAAACGTTAGCAAATACCACAAAAAAACAAAAAAATCAACAAAAAGAAAAAAAAACAATTAAATAAAAAAATGTGTATAAACAAAATGAATAGTAGCACACACACACACAGACACAGACACGGACACATTACACACTCACTCAAAGTTGAGAGAGTGTACGAAAAACAGAGAGAGAGAAAAATGTGCTTAGTTAACGTTAACTATTAATCTAATTATAACTAATTTTTTCTTACTATTTATTTTTGCTGCTCCTTGGTTTAATCAGATTTTAGCATTGGTTTTTACATTGTATTATATAGATTATGATATATCCAGAAACACACACACCCTACAAATACTTGAATATGCCGTATGTTATGTATAAAACTCACATTATTTTTTTTCTCTTAGTATAACCTCGTACTTGACCATAAGTAATGCAAAACAATATATATATGTATATATATATATATATATGAATTTGTATATGTATACTTATATAGTTATATGGCCAAGTTGAGAATTATGTAATGGTAAAGATCACGCCAAACTCGCCCACAGTTAGAACTTAAATGCCTGCGTTTTTTGGTTACGTTATGTAAAAACGTTGTTACCTTTTTTATGGAAGCAAAAAACATTAAAAAAAAAAATAAAATAGGAAAAAAACAGAAAAAAACAATATTGAAATGAAATGAAATACATTATTAAAGAGTTTCTGCTAATGCGTAAGTGCATGACAAACGATTATTATATTTCAGTGAAAAATAAAAACAAATTGTTTCTTAAATTCGTGTAAAAAAAAAACACAAAGCCACAAAACAACTGTTTTATTTATACCCCCACATCTAAAAGTAACCTTGAAAATCGGAATACATCTAATAGTATGTCTAAACTAGCAGGTTCACTGTTAAACCGAGATGTGTCAATCTTAAGTGGGAATATACATATTTGTAAAGACCATAATTATGTATAACTATTCCGAGACAAACAGTGCATGGTGAGTATGAATCTAGAGCTCGTGCTCTCCAGAGAGCATTCGAGATTGCCAACTCCATGCAGAGTGCACCTTTGAAATACACACAGAAACCCTATTCGAATAGCGCAGTATCATCTACGTTACTTTTAGCGAGCACCCCTTTTAAAGTACAGTGAAAACTGACCGATGAGGCACTGAAAGTTTAAGACTTTGATCAACTTTTGTGTACAGTAAGCCATACTTACAGTTAGCTTAAGAGCAAGAGCACGGTTCGATCCAAGATATTGCCTTTAGGATCGGGTTCGGTAGCCTTGCTTAAGAGAAAGTGTTTTAAAGTATATTTGACTTATAATTTCAAATCTTTTTCCTTTTATTTTTAATCTTACAAATCATTGGGATCGATGAACAAAATCATTGAGTGAATTCGAAAACAAAATAAATATATTAAATTCAGACGCTTTTTATGGTATATTATGAGAACTAGTTTCAAGGATCGCTTGATAAGATAGAGATAGTTGGAGCTTTGCTTATGAGAAAGTATTGTAAATGAAATATTACTTTTCCTTTCGCATTTCTTACTTTTTTATTGAAAACTTTCAAATCGTTTGGATCGATGGACAAAAGCTTATGAAAATCGTTGAGTGAACTGGAAACAAATTTATATGTGTTCAACTCAACATTTTTTTTATATTATACGAATAGGTATTTATTTATAGGGAATGTGTACTGTATTTCTGATACTCAGCTGGATAAAAGCAAGAAATAATGGTTGCGCCAGAGATCTGGTGTGGTATACACCAACCAAAAGCTGCTTAGAGTCAACGAGGTAGTATGGCAACGAACCCAATGGAAAAAAATCCAAGTATGTTTGTATGTCTGTATATATGTATGTATTTATGTATGCTCATATGGAGGGAGCAAAAGCAACACCAACAAGAGCAAAGGCAACTGAGGAGTTCTCTCAAGCGTATCAGTTTTGGCTTGTTGTAACGGCAAGTAGTCTTCAGTTGTGCATAGACCTGGATCCGGTGTAGATTGTTGTGTCCAAGAAGAAGATTGAAGATATCCGCTCTTTTAAATACCCATAATTTTAACAGGTTGAATGCTTGATTAAAAATCGATTGCCTAAGAACTAAATATGATATGTGGTATTTTGTGAAATGATTTGTTTATTGGTTTATAAATACAACAATAATTTGTTCATAATTTTCGGTTTGTTTTAACATCAATTTTACCTGTGTATGCAGTAAGTTTTTGGCCGTTTTGCCTCAGCGTGCTCGTTCATGCATGCAGTGTGGTAAGTTGTTACCTTCCGGACCTCTCCTCCTCCCACGTCGAGTGTTAAGGGAAAACGAAAACGTAGACAAACAATGCTTAAGGCCGTAAAGAAAACGACTGAGGTAAACAAATCGAAATTAAAAGTTACGGCCAGTACTGCCAACGAGAATACCAACAACAACAGCAACAACAGCAACAGCAGCAGCAACAAGAACAGTAACAACAACAACAACAACAACAACAACAACAACAATAACAGTAACAGTAACAACAACGATAGCCAAGGCGCCTCTGAGTTGGCCATCAAGAACGGCTCCATCGTTGGCCAAAAGCCAGAAGGGAGCTCAAATGACAGTCCCCCATTGAAGAAACTCAGCTTGAAGGGCAACCAATTATGCGGCAGCATTTTGATTGGCAATTATAATGTAAGCATAGATATATATTATATTCATTTCGATTTCCATTATGAATTTACTTGCTTTTTTTTTCAGTACTTGACCCAATTGGAGGTGTGCGAAAATGAAATGGAGGTATTGGATCTGAGTACATTGGCCCAACTGGAAACATTGAAATGCAGTCGCAACAAGTTAATTGAGCTCATCATAAATGGCACCAATCTGCAGACCCTTGTAGCGGATCACAACTGTAAGTAATGCAATTTTTTTCAGAAATGTATTCTGGATAGAATTTGCTGACCAATTTAGGTAGTTTAATTTGTTTATTGTTTGCTGACCTCATTTTATATTTAAATATGTTGTTTTCTTGCTCCCAACTAAAGGTTTTTTTTAAATTTTTTTTTACATTCCAATTAATTTCGAATCCCGTTCACTCAGCTGTGTAGTTTCAAAACTTCTTTATATAAAAATAAAAAACCAACAAAATGTATATTTAAAGTATTTAAAACTAGCTACAAATATATTTGATAAGCTGTTTTATAAGAGACACACATTATTTTAAGCATCGCTTCCAATAATTAACTATTTTACTATTCGCATATTTATGCATCCTACGAAATCGAATCTTGAACCTGTTTTTTTATATAATTGAACTCAGGCTTTGGTGCAAACATTAAACTTATATTTGTTCTGCATTTTCAAAGCTATTAAAGTTGAAGATTGTATTAGGAACAGTGAGTTACTCCATTAACATATCTCATCTCCCATTAGAGTCTGTCCCATAATTTACATATTTTTAAACATATTTTGTTTCTATGTTTTAAAGGTCTGCAGAGCATTTCGATATCGAAAACTGTGCCTTTGAAGTTGCTGCACATAGACATCTCGGACAATTACTTCAGCACGTTGCCGCAATGGATTGGTGGCTGTGTGGCATTAAGCACACTCGCTGCCCCGCATAATCATCTGAGTCACATCAAGGAGCTGTTGAGGAATTATCGCATCAGCTGCCTGCGCTCCCTCAATCTATCGTACAATGCGCTGCAGCAGCTCGACTATTTGCCGGAGGCCTTCTGCAGCGTGACGCAGTTGCAGCTGCAGAGCAACGAGCTGCAACGGTTGCCCGAGAACTTTTTCACTGTGACTAACTCGCAGTTGAGCGCGTTGAATGCCTCATGCAATCGGTTGTCGCAGCTGCCGCGCTACGAGCAGAACAACAATGCGGCACTCGAGGAGCTCTGCTTGACGGGCAATCAGCTGAACGATAACATATTCGAGCCACTGTTGCATGCGGGCAGGCTGAAAGTGTTGCGCCTCGCCCACAATCGCATCGGTGTGCTGCCCGCTGAGTGTGTGCGCAACTGGCCCGAACTGGAGGTGCTGGTGCTATCGGGTAACATGCTGCAGCAGCTGCCGGATCAGGTGGCCAGCTTGAGTCAACTGAAGGTGCTGCGCTGCTGCAATAATCTGCTGTTGAGCACACCGCAGCTGGCCAAGCTGAACAAGTTGAAGATACTGGATTTGGCACACAATCATCTGGATCGCATTAATCTCTTGTCGCTGGTACCATCGCGCAATCTCAAGTACTTGGACCTGTCCGGCAATCAGCAGCTGCAGGTGGATGAGCAGCAACTGAAGGTCTGCCAGACGCAGAGTCAGCGCGTCTGGAGCCTAGTCGATGTCTCCGGCAACAATCGCGCCGCGTTGCCAACCAGCACAAGGCGTCCACCCGTGGAGTTTAACAAATCACCGTACAAGACCAAAGCGATACCTTGGTCCTTGGGCTTTGCCGAGTCGCCAGGCAATTTGCGCAAGCTGCTGGTGAGCCAGTTGCGTGCGGGGCACTATAACAATACGGATGAAGCGCTATTTGGTATGTTCGAGTCGGAGAGCGATGTGCGTCTGGCACAGCGGATGACCCAGCTGGTGCCCAGTCTCTTGAAGCAAGAGCAAACGCTGAAGGAGTCGCCCCTCAACGACTATCTGAAGTACACCCTGCTGTCGGCGCAGCGACAGTGCGGCGGTTGCCTCAGCAGCGCCACACTCTTCCACCTGCTCCGCCAGCCGGCAAAGGTGCGTGCCCTCAAATCGAAGCGTTATGTCCTCCGTCTGGTGCACATCGGCTACTTCGATGCGTATCTGGTGCGACGCACAACCCACCTGCGACTGACAGAGTCCGAATCCCACTGTGACAGCCATAAGCGGGCTCAAACTCAAACCCTGCCCGATCCACAACTGCTGGAGGTGAGCACTATTAAGACACATAAAATAGGAATACTATTTACTTAAGTGTACTTAAAACAGAAGATGTGTAATAGATACAGGTCTAATATATTATGCAAATTAAGACTTAATTCAAATATTGGGAACTTCATGCGACATGCAACTTTCTTATTCTTGCACGACTTCAAGAATTTTTATCTGGTTGAGGGTTTCGAGGTCTTCCAATGTTAAAGATACTAGGATACTACATATTCTTCTGGCTAAGGGGCAGAATTCATCTTCATTGTGACATTATGAATTCAGCTACTGATTATATCTAGGAAATCGTTAAAATCATGCGAAAATTCCTAAGCACCTCAGTTTGTTTGACATGAGCGAGATAATATTATTAATGTTATATATTCCCATCTTAGATAACGCTGAGCAACGACGATGAGTATCTGGTGCTGGGCAATGATCAGCTGTGGTCCGTCATGGACATTGGACGTGCGGCTCGAGAGATACGCAAGGAGGAGAATGCGCTGCTGGCGGCCAAGCGGCTGCTGGAGATTGCACAGAGCTTTGGTGCCACAGCGAATCTGAGTGTGATTGTGATACGCTTCAGTCACCTGAGCACCGATGTGGATCATCTGATACGGGAGCTCAAGCAGAGTGTGAGAAAGAAACCAGCGCTCATCTCCCCTCAACCGCCCCATTTATCAGTGAGCAAACGCACCTGTTGCGATAGGAGCAATGCCTGCCGGCATCGCAACTTGGAACAGGAGCTGCTTGTGGGCCGCAGTTCGCCCAGTGGACAAAGCAATCCGGAGTTACTGAAAAAAGAATTCGTTGAGAGTGAAGTGAGTACTGTGGCCAAGGATGAGTTCATTTTGGCACATGCTCGCGTGCTGCAGGAGGAGCAACAGCTGGAAATGCTGGACGAGACGGAGTCGGTGCTGTCTGAGGAGCAATTCAAATGCTGGGAATACATGCTGGAGCAGAACACCCAGCTCCTCTTCGACAAGGAGCTGAACACCATATCCAAATCGTTTTCCAAGCAGCGGCTGCCTGCAGCCAATCTCACAGCTGCCGATTGCAACGATCTGAAGTCGAGTCTCATTAGAAATGTGACCAACAAGTTCATCTCGAGCAGCACGCCTCAGTTGCCGCAGCCTTTGGGCGCCTACCAGCAGATGAAGCAGCTACCCACCGAACACTTTGGCAGCATGCGATCCTTCCAACAGTCGCCCAGCTATGGCTACAATCTCTTTGATGCGAAAGCCCGCGATGCCTATGCCAAATTGGGTGGTGGACCCCATGCGGCCTACTTTGGATCGCTGCAGCGTCGCATGCCCTGCAATTTGGAATATGATTTTACTGTTACCCAGGAGAGAGATCACAATATTCTGGATGAGGAGGAACTCGATGAGGATGGATACAACGAGCATGAGAGTCGTATGCGCAAATATTGGGGCGTGGCAACCACAGAGCTATAGATGAGGCGAAAACAAATTTGCATTCGTTTTTTTGTTGATGTTTTGGTATTTACTTCGATAAATAGGAAAAACAAATAATATCAATATCAAACACATAAAAAATTATGGTTTAATAATTGCATATAGAGTGTATTGAGTTTCTCAATCAATAATTACAAATAATTAATAAAATTTAAATAATTATGCTTAGTGTTTTCAATAGGTCATTTTAACAGATAGGCAATAAATTCGATTACCAAAACGGTTAATTTTTCATTTGTCGGATGGGCTTAGGTTGCTGCATTGGCTAAATTGCCCAACATACAAAATTTGTGAAGCACTTTTAGGGGCACAGGAGATGAGAAAAAACCATTGCATATTTCGGAGGGCAGTTGCCCTCCAAAGCAAAAGCAAAGCAAAAGTATATTATCCCAGCTTAAATTGTACCATATAAAGTCTGCAAGTCAACAGGAGACAATGCCATCGACGATGAGCGTAGTAATATCTTATTGAATTATATTTAAGCAGTCCCCTTCAATAGCTTTGGACGAACTAAGAGGTCTAAAAAATAAACTAAAATTGTATGCAACCGTTTTTAAAATCTGGAAGCAGTTGGTTCTTGTATTTGCTATAAGTATAATTGTGACTGCTTGCTGTCCAAACTAAATCTCAATTCTTTAACTGCACGCTTCTCCGATAGAGGGCTGGCAAAAGCAGCAGATGTAAAACGGATTTATTCTTTTCACACAGGTTTATTAATAAACCGTCAGACAGACAGTTTTTAAATTGTACTAACAGTATTTTGAGATAATACAAATTAAATATAATTATTGTGATACAGAGATATATAAACATGTTTAGATTATTTTAAAATTTACTGACCGTATTTTTAGATGATACAAATTATAATAATTGATCTGATTATTCATTGCGGCATCAAACAAGTGTCGACTGCCACACAAAAGTACTCATTAAAATTGAGAACTTAATTTAACAAGCACACAAATAACGCCCACATACTCAAGCTTATCCACATATACATATACAGATGTATACAGATATATTTATACATATAGATATATATATATACAAGTACATGTACGCCCCGTATTTGTGAGGTCACTGAGGCGCATAATTCATGTCAATATCAGAACTCATTTACTTGCGGTTGTTTTTAGCGATGCGTCGCGAAAGAAATTCATCTAAGTGGCAACGACATCAATAGGCGATAGACGATGTAAATGGTGGAAGAGGGGTGCAGGGTGTGTGTGTGTGTGTGTGTGTGTGTCGTTCCGAGTTGCCAGAGAGATGTATCTGCGTGTGGCTTTCTAATCATTTCGAATCGCTCAAGTGTATTACCGTTATAGGTCGCGTTAACAAGACGAGCGGCAGCAGAAATGTGTTGGGCAAATATGAAACTTTTGTTGAAGCACATCCGTTATCCGATTTGATGCTGTGGCTGCCATTGGACCAATATAATGACAAGAGGCTGGCAATTTTAATTACTTTGGCAGTCTCATTTGTTTCCACTTGTTGCCCATCAGTTAAAACTGAAGGCGTCCTTCAAATGACAATTTCATTTTCATTCACCATTCACCATTTTCCATTCCCATTTCCATTTGCCCATTCGCCCAAAACCAGAACATTTCGAACATTTTACACTTGAAAGCTCCACACTGATGTCTATCACAATGCCCATTACAACTTATTGCTGCGGCTACTTTTAATACACTAAATTAACTCTTGGGGTTTGACTCATGCTCCATGCCCCATGCCCCATGCCACATGCCCCATGCCAAACGGCACACCCACTCATGCCAGAAGCCCGACGATTTGTCACCCGTCCGCAGACGACGCGGATTTTATCTGTAGTTTATCTCGCCAGTGTTGATAAATAGCTTTGTGGTAATTAATTTGGCGTGAATGAAGTGCATAAAATAGCATATAAAAATAAAGTATAGAAACATAGTGTTTATATATATATAAATAACGGGGTACTTAATGTCGTCTAATACGATTGAAAGCAATGCATCGCTAAAGGCTCATTGTGATTATTTGAAAATTATTTGCAAGATATTTTGCTTCTGTTTTTCTGGCCAACACTATTCAAAAGCAAAACTAATTAACTAATTATGGCATTAACACCAAAGTTCATACTTAGCACATATTTTTAGTTATTTATAATGAGCCTATAAGGTTGCTGATTTTGCACACTAAATTTATCTTAATTATTTCCTGCTTATCTTCATATCTCGGATAACTTTGGTAAGGAAACCGGTTCAATTTGGATGTGTAATTTCGTGAACAAACAGCAACCCAGGTTGACACTGGATAGCAAGAGCAACAGCAGAAGAATACATTTCAAACACACAGTTCACTTGTTGGTAGAACTGAATTAGTCCAGCAACAGTCAACTGAAGGTGGTCAGCAGCAGCGCAAGCATCAACAATCATAGGACGAACTGTTAAAAGGACCCGTTGGTTCCGGAACAACTGCAGCAGCAGCAAATTGAAGCTGCCGGTGGTCAAATGCAACAGCAGCAAGTACATCATCTGCAGGCTAATCATTTTCGATTCTTGTAATGAGCTCCAACATCACCAAAGACTGCAACATGCTCTAGCCTACAATTTAAGGTCAATACCTAAAGCCAAATTTGTAGCCATTTGAAGCTCTAACATCACCAAAGACTGCAACATGCTCTAGCCTACAATTTAAGGTCAATACCTAAAGCCAAATTTGTAGCCAATCAACAGGCTTTTGCAACTAGTTCTAGTCTTTAAAAATTGCACATTCCTAAGAATATTGAAAATTAACCCTTGCTCCGTTTAAACTTATAACTTACAAAATTAGTTTATAACAAACGGAAAGGTAAAATGTACATAACAATTTATTGTAATAAATACTTGCAATAAATGCAGTGGACGAAAATACCAATTATTAATTAAAATCGATATTGAATTGGCTGGAAAAGTAAGTAAAGTTTCTAAGAATTATGACTTTTTTCTATTTACTTTCATTCAGAATTTGCATGATTCATGGAGCTTGTTAGTTTTTTATGATAATCGTAACGAATCGGAAGGAAAGATTTATTAAAAAAAGCCTCAATCATCTACTACTCCGTCATATCCCTTCAGGCTTTATTGTGGCTACATCAAAATCCAATTTCATAACTCACATCCTAACTGGCTCCCAATGAATGATAGTAAGCAATGTTCCGCTGGATTCTAAGCCACAATTGTTAACTCAACTTGAGATTTGAGTGAATACGCAAGTAAATGTATTCCCATAATTCAGTGGCATTTCCAAATCCGTTATTAAAACAGATGGGCGGCAACTAGAAGTCCTTCCATGCTTGTAAGCGGAAATGGCTTCACCTTGCGATGCTTGCTAAGGTAACCTATCAACACATCCGGCTACCATTCAGACACCTCTAAAACTTTTCTCATTATATGTGTCCACACACACACACACACTCCAGCGTTGCCTTCTGCCAACTTCCTGCCAGAATCACCGATGGCAGCAGCAGCAACCCTTTCCCCCTCTTGCCTTTGAACTAACCTAGGCACACTGCCACAATGCCTCTCTGAATGCTTCGGCGCTTTCAAAGACTTCCGTCATCGCCGAGACACTCGTCGTGTAAATTTGCATTTGCTTCTAATTACGTAGAACAGCAGTCCTGAAGAAGAAGCAGAAGAGCTAGAAACCAGTAGAATCCTTAAAACAAACGCAGCCAAGCCGCCCGCATCTGCATCAGCATCAGCATTAGCAGCTACGGCAATTGCAATTTATAATTTCAATTATATTTATATTTTCATGAGGGTTGCCACACAACCCCCAAACCCTGCTTCTGCTGCAACTCGGAAACACTACAAATCAAGTGCCACGCACGCAAATTTCCTTTAATTAAAACTAAACTTTTAAGAGTTTCGCCTACGGCATTCGCTCCCCAAAAAGATGCAGATGCCTGCCTGCATTCGTATCTGATCTGCATCTGCATCTGCATCTGGTAAGCACCGGAAAATTGCTTGCCTTTAACTTACAAACTTAGGGGTAGGTGATGTCATCTGCCAGTTGTATTTGTTGCCAGTCGGCCCAATGCGGGCCAAGTACTACATAACTTGACGCCAACTTTGCCCAAGAATCTCTTCCATACTAAAGTCAAAAAATAATGATGGGCTCACAAGAAGTGTGTGTGTGTGAGTGTCTGTGTGTGTGAGTGTCTGTGTGTGTATGTGTGAGTGTGTGTGAGGTGTATGTGAAAACTTTTATTTATTATAATGGGGAACTAGTTTTTGAGTGACTCTTAAAATATTGTGAATGGCACCCTTCACAACAGTTGTAGTTATAAACAAGTTTTGAGCAGCTCACAAAATATTTGTATAGTTAAGTCAGCTACAGTTCTTATTTGTAATTCAATTTTAATAACATTTTATTTACTTATTAATTCTTTAATAATTTAATTGAATATATTGTAATCTGCAAAACTGCAAGGGAGAAAACATAATATTTATAGTTGTGTATTTTGTGAAATATTTATTCATTTATTGTATAAAATGACTTAAAAAAAATAAACTTAACATTTTTAATTTTGTGCTGTGATTCAAGTAAGTAAAAGTAATTTGAACATGATGAATTTTGAGTTGTGTGGTTTATTCCCGATATTTTATATTCATTTCGAAAATGAATCAGTTCCGATTGGTCAGACGTAAGAACTTAAATTTTTCTTAAGTAGGCTCTGTTCATGGAAAACAAATTATGAAAAGAACATTGAAACAGCTTTTATAGAACACATCTGATTTGCTTTAGTATTTTTAACAGTAAAAAAAAAACAGCCACAAGTTGCCCATGGAAGAGGTCTTTTGCAGGGAATTCAAGTGCTGTTTTCTAAATAGATATATTTAGTCAGGTCAAGATTGCATTGCATCGATTGCCATTCGCAGAGATATCGAAACGAACGGGAAGCCTTAGCACAACACTCGGATGACAGACTCAAAAGTTTGTCACGAATATTTCAAATATATTTTTTATATTTCTTAAAACAAGAAGTATTTGTAGACACAAGTGAGTTGCCGCTATATGGAAAAGTTAACAATTGGCGATAAGATCAATATAAGGCGATCCGACGGATGCATTCAAACTGCAATAGTCGGCCTGAAGAGTATCGACCGGCAGATTGTGACCGTTGAATGGACTGAGGGCAGCAAGTGCAAAGGCAAGGAGATACCCTGGAGCGTAGTGGTGGAGCTTAATGCTTATTTGGTGAAAGAAGAGCCGCAACCGATGGAGACCAAACCGGAGTTGCCCAAGAGCGAGGCGAAGCCGAACTACAGCATGTACAGCAAGAAGGTGAACAGTCCCTACAAGAAGAGCCAGTGTGTCGGGAATAGACGGGAAGTGGTTGCCGCCAAGCAGGAGCCGGTTAAGCAAACGGTTAAGCCACCGGCTCCAGTTAATTTCGGCTACAATTCCAGCAGGAACTTGAATCCAGACAAAAAAATGCTGAACACACCGCGAGCCACTTCGAATGTTGTCCGCGAGGTGGAGCGCCTTAAGGAGCAGCGGGAGCAGCGACGCGCCGTGCACGATGAGCAGCGAAAGGAGAAGTACGAGCTGATGCTCAAGGATCCCGGCAATCCCAACTGGGAGGTCGCACTCATGGTGCGCACCTATCGTGACCAGTTAGTACTCAATCCGCTGCGCCAGCTGAGTTCGCGTGCTGCTCGCGTCCAACAGATCACCGTCTGTGTGCGCAAGCGTCCGATGAGTCAGCAGGAGGTGAATGCCAAGTCTGTGGACAACATCTCGGTGCCCAGTCGTGATACGCTGATTGTGCACGAGTTGCGCCATCGGGTGGATTTGACCAAGGTCCTGGAGCATCACAAGTTTCGCTTCGACTGCACATTCGATGAGAAGTGCAGCAATGCTTTGGTCTATGACCACACGGCTCGTCCCCTCATCCGCACCATGTTCGAGGGTGGCAATGCGACGTGCTTTGCTTACGGGCAGACGGGCAGCGGAAAGACGCACACCATGGGTGGCAAGTTTGCGGGCAAGAAACAGGACTGCAGCACAGGCATCTACGCAATGGCCGCTCGAGATGTGTTCGCCGAGCTGGCCACGCCCAAATATCATCAGCTGGGCGCCAATGTCATCTGTAGCTACTTTGAGATCTATGGCAATAAGGTAAGCAAATACTACAATCTTAATCCATGAACTCATCGATACCGTGTCCACCTATTCAACCGACTCAAATAGGTCTGTGACTTGCTGGTGAAGAGCAAACCGGTGCTGAGTGTTCTGGAGGATGGTAGCCAGCAGGTGGTCATTTGTGGCTTGACCAAGGTGCCAGTTGCCAGCGAGACGGATGTGTTGGGCCTTATCGAGCTGGGGAATCGAGCGCGTACCTCGGGCAAGACGTCCGTGAACATGAAGTCGTCCCGCTCGCATGCCGTCTTCCAGATGGGTCTGATTATGCCCGACCAGTGTGAGCCGTGCGGCAAGTGCTCCTTTGTCGATCTGGCTGGCAATGAGCGTGGCTCCGATACACAATCGTCTAGTTTGCAGACGCGTCGCGAGGGTGCCGAAATTAACAAGTCGCTGCTTTCGCTGAAGGAATGCATTCGCGCTTTGAGGCGTCGTTCGAGCCATTTGCCGTTCCGCGGCTCCAAGTTGACGCAGGTGCTGCGCGATTCGTTTATCGGTGGCGATCAGAACAAGTTGTGCATGATAGCCATGATCACGCCGGGCATGAGTTCCGTGGAGAACACACTGAACACACTCCGTTATGCGGATCGTGTCAAGGAATTGCTGACGAAAGAGGAAAATTCTCCGGATACTGAGTGCAATAAAGAGACCTCAATAAATAACGATGAGTTCGAGCCAAGCGAGGAGTCCAGCTGCTATTTCGATACAGAGTCGGATGAGCCCGGTGGTGACCATAACTCGAATTCAAGACAAATCTCGAATGACATTAAGTGTGACAGCAATTTGGTGATAAACGATGCTGACAACGATTCGGATTCCGATTCCGATTCCGATCACAATCTCGATGTCGATGTCGATGCCGAAACAGCCAAAATTGTCAAGCAACACGAAATACTCTTTAAATGTCTCGATTGTTTCAAGGATAACTTTGGGGACGTTCTGAAGGGCAGTTCTACTGCGCATACGAATAATCGGCGTCTATCCCAGTTGCTGTTAAATGTGGAGCCAAAACTATTTCAATTGCAGGCCCTTGTCAAACAGACACACACCATGGTCACAATCTACAATCTGAAGCGATGTGCTGGGAGTACGCAGAATGAGGGGTAAAATATCTCAAATGACTTGCAGTATTAATTGGGTGGACACCGACTACATTGACCAACAGTTATTTATTTTCAATATAGTTCACATCAGTATTGTATTATTATTTTATTGGATAACAATGTCAGGTTAATAAAACGCTGTTAATAAAAATTGCACGTATGTAGCACAAATCAGCAATTGTTGGTCAAATCTGTTACAAACAATCTAGCGCATAAAAACTAATATCACATTGCAAAAGTCGTTTAGACCATCAGATATAAATATTTGATATATTATACAATATATTTTTTATAATTAAAATATATGAAGACTGACTACAGAAATAATTCTGGGAATTATATATGAAATGAATTCTTAAGGACTTATGTGAAACCATAATTCCATTCCATTTGGCCTGCCCGAAAGTATGCTGTGAACAATTGACTCCTTTAACAACAATTCTTGAAAATTTTGTGACTTAACTGTGGAAACTTTTCCGATTTTTCCGATAATAACTTAGGTGACTCCAGTTTTTTATGCAATCATATCGATTTCCGTTAATCGATTTGACCGATTACCAATCTTAAAACTTGTTTGACCTGGGCACACACGAATATGTATTCCAAGTTTTAAGAACAAATATTGCACAACACCAATATGCTCTTATACCTTCGGTGGCAGAGTATAAGGACTGCAGCATGAATGTGGATTAGGATTATCATTTAAAAAGTATGTACGGGCATTGAAATTGTTTTCACAAATTTATTCCGTCACATATCCATCATAATAAAATCGCTGTCCTCAATGCCTGGCTAAAGTTCACTTGTGAGGACTTCCGCATCCTACTGGGCGAGTGCATGCAAACAACTTTTCGTTCATATCGAAGCACATTTTGGGAGCTGGTGAGGACCTCGTGATATATGAAAATGTGAGGAAGTGGGGTTTATGGCAACGCGAAATGTCTACACGATGGCAGTCAATTGCTCATTGCTCATTGAGTTGGCACACGATGCTGCGAGTTTTGAGCTCTTGCCGAGGAGCAGGCCCAGGACCTGAGCACTGCCTCCTAAGCCCTGGCAACATGGCAAAGCCCAGATGCAGCTGTGGCGACGACATCAAGAACGAACGAACGGACGCCAAAAGCAAAGTTCGGGGCAATAGATACGCGCAGAAATGTGAGTTTCTGGTTTAGTTGGAGTTTAGTTTACGTGCGCGTGGATTTCAAGCTGTGCGCGCACATAAGTTTGCAGCTTAACCATGTGAAATTCATAAGAGCACACAGCCGGATGGCAATACTCCACCAGCACTCTCCACTTTCCCTTTGCAGCCAGCACACCAAAAAACACACACATACTTGCAAACTCGTTGCCCTTGCCACCTTCTTCTCGCTCATATCTGCACTCAAAAAAATAAAATCGACTTGAAAACTATAAAGTTTTCCTTGTTTTTAGAAATAATTTCTAAATATACGAAAACGAATTTCTTAATATTATAAACACTTACTATATTTTTCAGATATATATAAATATATATTTCTTATATCTAAAAAGTAGAAAATTTTTAGAAAAAATCTCTTCTGAAAGAAGAAAATAATGAAATTTACTAAACTTAACAAAAGAAAAATCCTAGTTTAAAGAAAGACACAAACTTCAATTTTAGAAATATACTTTCGGCAAATGTGGGGAGTTACCCGTGGCGACATAATTTTCTTTCTGAGTGTATATTCACATAAAATACAGCACCGGCTAATGCATTGCCATTCTGCTCCTAAATAACCCCATCTTAACCTGCACGCATGCAGGCGGCAGTCAAAAAGTTGCCACACGAAAAGTTTAAAATTAAATGTAGCTGGATTTTCTAGTTGAAGGCCTTTATTTTTGGTTTTTGTTTTGGCTCCCCCATTTTAAATGGGGATATTGTTCGAGTTGGTATATGGATATACGTGTAGATTTATTCAAATAATTAATTTCTGTTAAGACATTTGACTTGCCTCTTGAAGGTATACTCGGGTGTTGCTTATAAGTATCTCTTTTAAATACTAAACTCTGAATTAATTAATTAATTATCCAACAAAGAGGTGCTCATATCTATTAAGATAATTTTTTTTCTCTTTATAATTACTAATCATTTCATGCTGTTCTCTATGGTCGAAGTTATCCTTGGAAATTACCAAGAAATGTTGCGTGCTTTGGCTAATTATGTTTTGGGCTAATGAAATATAATTTGAACAAAATTATTGAAAATTGACGGTAATTGAAATGAATTTGAACAAACTTGAATGCATGGTCATGTGTCGTGTTGGGCAACCATCAAAACACCGAAAAGTGTTGAAATCAAACGTGTCGAGTCAATGGCACGCGACAAGGCAAAGGATGTGGAGAAAGGACTGCAATTTGAAATGGTGGAACCCAAAGGCGCCTATTACACATTTTACTCAACCTATCGAAATTGCTGAGAAGTGCCCTGTGATTATGCACAGTGTTGTGGATTTTAGGATATGCAAAAGAAATGACTGAAATTACATATTATTGCCAATGGCTAGAAGTATTTTCTGCTTTACTTTAAGAAAACACTTTAAAAAAACGTCTGAAATACTATAATACATTAATGTATGTACATAAGCAATTCCAGTGGTTCTGCTTCAGCTGTGTGTGGGGGAGAATATTGCTTAATAAACTCAATAAATATAAAAATAAATTAACTGCAACTAAATGAGCCAAATAAATTCATTTACCGCTTACACGCGCCACTAGTGCTGCAAACCCACAGTTAAGTCTCTCTCCATCTCTCTTTGTCTCTCCCTTTCAGTCTCTCTCTCTCTCTCTCTCTCTCTCATCTGTCTCCCTCTCTGTTTCTCTATGTACAAGCACGTATCCACTAAACTCAATTGCCGACACATTGGGGGAAAAGCCAAGTGCAGTCTGCACTTGGGGGAGCTAAGCAACAACAGCTACAGCAGCAGCAGCAGCAACAGCAACAGCAACATGAACAACAACAACAGCAAAAATCGCCAAGGCAACTGTCGAGAGTTCCACGGGTCACAATCTTATCCGCTGCAGGTGATTTCAGCTCAATGACTGACTGAAGTTTGTTTGCTTTGCTTTTGTCAAGCAACTCTCAAAAGTATATTTCAGCTAATCCAATTGGGATTTTTTGGGATGTTAGGTAAATAGCTATGGCATCATGATTTTTCAATTCATTGCAATGAATGTATAGTGTACATTCAATTTACGATTTTCTCGAAAATAATATGTAGAGTTCCTCTGCCACTGCTAGGAGAGGACTACAATAATTGGGCTCTCTTTTCTTTATAGACGTATCGGAACTCGCCGATAACCCACAAAGGAAATTTCTTTATATCCAAGGATCGCTGTTTGAGTTTCACTTTCCTGTCGACAGCCGCGCTAACCTAACCCGACCGATGTATTCTAGGAAACATTAAATTATGGAAATTGAACATAAATTTTTGGGCGGTTTATGTGAGAAGTAGGAAACGAGTCTTTCAAAAGTCGTTGACAAGACCCAGGTAATCAATCAACGTAAGACAGGTAAATCAATGCGTTACTTCTTGGTAACAGCCCAGCAGAGTCCAAGCAACACCTACCAAAAAATATACAAATAGCAGGCGCATGGACGTTAAGGAGAACAGTTGCAAGTGATCTTTCAAATTGCAAACACTAAAATATTCTTGGTTATAATGAAATTTCATGTAAGTTCAATTCTGGCCTTTGGTTTCAATTGTGTGTATTTTAAACAGCATTTTGATATTTTAGCTGCAGGTGTTCATCCTGCTTGCACTTGCATTAGTTGCATTTGCTGCATCTCAAGGGCGCTGGAATAATTATCAACGTCGGCCACAGCACCGCTTTGGACAACAGTTGCAGCTGCAGCAGCAGCAGCGACACCTGCTGCGGCAACAACTACAACTGGAAATTGGTTAACGCTCTATTCGGCGGCAGTATCAAAAATGTAGCCTCTGTTGGTGGCATAAACTAATAGAATTCATAAAGATATATTGAGACTTAAACTTAAAATAATAATAATAATAATAATAAAATATGGACTGAAGTTAATGTAATTTCTATGTAGACATTTGGAATAATTACTAAGTATAATAACATGAAATATATTTCTTGGTCTCAACAATAAAAAAGTATTCAAAAAATATTATAGTAGTTCTTCTTTTTCTTACTCAAACTGGGTTTTATATTTTTCTCAATTATTTAAATGTATCGAGTTCTTAAATAACCGTTAAACGGAAAACAAAAGATTAATTTAAATATACTTAGGAATAAAAGAATAGCCACTTTTTCCATACGCAGTTCTCGTATGCTCTCAAGGATAATTATTCTTGAATTTTAATTTGCTGGATATTAGTCCACCTATTCACAGTATATCTAATAATAATAATCTGATCTAATAATAATAATTTAATATAATAATAATCCATTTAAATGACTGAAATATAAGAAGATAAGCTTGCAGGTTCTCCGAAAAAATTAGTCAAACAATTTCTTTAAATTAAAAAATATAAACAAAATTTGATCCTCTGATACTTTGAAAATATTTCATAAAGAGACAGCTGCGGTGCTCAAAATCTTTACATTTACCAAACCTGTTTTCTATATTATATATTTGATTAATACAGAAAGCCATTTGCTGTATTACTTATCCAGCTGATTCCACGTAGAAACTAGTTCTTTTGGCCAATTGCGTTCATGGCCAATTGTTATGCGCAAAGTTTGTGCAAGGGTTGTGTATGTCTAAGCCAAAATCGCCAAACTCTAATGAGTGTTATCGCCTTCAAATCTGCGTCAGAGCTATATCGAATGCTTTGTACTGGGATTTGGGTAAGGTTGCCTCCAAATTGCCCTCCCCGCATCCTATCTCACTTGGAACCGCATCAAACTCATTAAGCAGAAAACCCTTTGGCTGCTCTGCGCCAATTTTGGGTTCGACTTGTGTAATGACTTCATCTTTGTGGCTCTCTCTTATGGTGAGGACAATTTGCCAGCGCTGCTCTCATAGCCATTGCCAACAACAACAATAACAACAATAACAACAACAACAACAATAATAATAATGGTAACAGCAAGAACAACAACTACAACATTAAGCGCACACAGAACGCAACATTCGCAACTACAAACAACTTTTTAATTGCAATTAAATACGTAACAAGTTTTTAGT